TCATAAATTGATGGCGTACACAAATTTTTCCAATGAGTCCAATTTACAGTGTTTATTAGTAGTAAACAATGTGATCCTACTATTGAAATGTTTTAATGATATAATACTATGTTGGTAACAATTGTGTATAACATTTCTATAACATTGTCATAATTTTATATCACACACAATATTCGTACGTCTCACTTCGCGGACTTGCCAACAGATTGGTGGACATTAACGCTAAATGGCCCTCTTCTGAGAGTAGGTACCTATTCCTACTCGTAAATAAGCAATTCAATGATTCAGGGTTGTTTGAAACTTTTAATATAAATATAAAAGTATATGCATGTTAAGGTGGTTTGTGTACGCTTCAAAAACTCAAAAAGTTGTTTACCGATTGAGCTGAAAGTTTGACACGATATACAACACGCTTTAGTGACGGTTGTTATTTCCGTGGTATTTTATTTTATTTTTTATTCTTTTTTTATTTAGGGGCTTGTAGTCACACGTAAGACCATGACAGCCCCATCGTACCCTAAACTTACAATGTACCAATCCCTAAATTTATTTTAAGTATATAGAACATACTGCTATTAATAATACTGGAATATAAACTATAGTTCAAATAATTTATAAACTAACAACGCCGCTTCTGACAACATCTATTATATTAATTTTTACCCTATTTACCAGATCCTCTCTCTCAGCCCTAGTTTTGACACACTCCATCAAAAAATAATAGACGTCCTCAACAATACCGCATTCTTCACAATTTGGGCTGATACTTATGTCCATAAGATGTCGAAACTTGTTGAGTGGGACGTGTCTAGATCGTAGTCTATGAGCTATTACAGTATATTTCCTATTAATAATTCTGTTGGCAAACCTTTTCGTTTGTTTAAATTGTGTGTGGTTGGTTTAAATTGTATACCGATGCATCTAAAATAAATAATAATATTGGTGTCACCTTTTATGAATCAAGAGATAAAATAAGTGGTATGTTTAAAGTACCCCAAAGTCATATATGTATAAGACTGCAAAAATATGAGTGGTGAGAAATGTGTTGTTTTTGTCGATAGTAGGAGTGCCTCTGGATTCAGAGGTGTTTCTCTAGCTTCCTCTATTTTAAAACAAATATGGACATTCACATCTATTAATGATGATAGTTTGGTGTTGAAAGATGAAAGCTAATTAATTATTATCATCTCATTTTTGGCTTCAATTGATGCTCTTAGAACTTCTTGCAACAATTAAGTACGTTTCTGACTCCAGGATCAAAAAATTGTACGGACTACTGATTTAGCTTAGTAATACGAGTAAAATCATTCAACAAAACACAATATCAAACGACAGAGTACTAAAATTTTGTAATTACGAGCCTAGTGAGCCAACATTCAACAGTATCGACGCGTCAAAATAAAGGCCTCGAGCTTGTAAAAAGCCCTCACTTGAGTGTGCGCCACACAAAGCGACCTCAGCGAATCGATTGAGCAACAGGTCTGTACCAGGGCTTTCACAATAACCTTATACTCGTAACTACAACATATGCAATGGCTTTTCTACATTGCCTTTGAAAATCACTTACGAATTTGTGCATAAACTAAATGAAATAATTTATATATTTTATTGGGTACTTGGAAATAGTGTTGATGTCGTGTCTTTATAGGTAATATGTACCTAGTACGATTTCTTAATGTCATTGAAGAAATATTGTCGCACGTTCCTACTGTTTTGCCTCTAAGATAGGTATGAAAGTATACTGTGGGTACTCATAATTTAGTATATAAAGGGATTCGAACGTCCGATTGAATTAAAATTACATTTTTGTAAAACTTCGACAACTATAGGTACTTCCATAAGCCATACGTTGGCGTATATGGGTCAGGTTCTGGCGATACGAACCCTTTCCCCATCCCCCTGTTTTTGAGGGGAGGAACTGAAAGGAATGATGCCTCAGTCTCAGCGGTTGTCTTCAACGGCTCAGTTATACCTTGAAGCCCGGTAGTCAAAGACCTAGGCCTGCTCATCGACTCATCCCTAGATGTGAGCCAGAAAGTAACGGGTAACCTGCTAACACTATACCGTCTTAAGAATTTCCTGCACTCCCTAATTATTCCTATAATTGACTATGGTGATGTGTGTTACTTCGACCTGAATTCAGACCTCCTTAAGAAGCTAGACCGTCATCTTAATAAATACATTCGATACATATTCAATCTTCGCAAGTATGACCATGTGTCTGCTATGACCATTCGCCTGTGCTGCAACCAGCGAGCGCTGACCTTCCTCTTTTCATTTCTTAACTCCCCATTTTCACCCACCTTCCTCGATCCCTACATCCGTTTCTTGTCCTTTAATCGCGACAGAAATCTTCTATCAACAAATAATGTACTTCTCTTGTCCCTCCCACAACTCCCGACTTCGTGAACTCCTCGTTCTTTGTGCAAGTAGTGTTCTGGAATGCGCCCCCACTCGAAATCAGGATGTCCACAAACCGTTTCGCATTTAAAAAGAATGTATGTATGTAAGTACCTTAACCAATAGTACGTCTCCTTCAATTCAAGTATTTACAGCGTACGAACATAAAGCATATATTTATAATCAGCGATTTCAATTCCTCGGTGCACCTACCCTACAACATTTACACCACCCAGGTAGGTAGGTAGTAGGTAGGTAGGTTGGCTGGTAGAGAATGCCCAGGGCATTAAGTCCGCCGATGTACATAAGTGCATGAAGATGTAAAATAAAATAAATAAATTTTTGTCCGTTTCAGGCATCTTTGTTAAGTCCCCCGCGACACAGGATGTATTCCTAGTGCGGGAGATGTCTTTTTATAAAAATGAAAAAAGAAACATTTAATATGAAAATGACAATTAAATTACAAGTTAACCTATTAAATAAAAATTGTTATAAATATCAATTTGTGAAACCCAAACACGTGTGCTACAAAAATAAACTAAAAATGAGGATAAAAAATATACAACATTTGGTAATTACCCTTACCTCCAAAGAGTACTTTCGGATTTAGAAAATATGAAGAAAACTAGCTTTTTTGACCGCGACATCGTTCGCGTGGTGGTCGACATGAGACATTTTAGAGGATACAATACATACCAACTGGTTGACTGATTTACTGAGTGATCGAAAAACTTTCGTTGCCATCCATCGTAAGCTTAATATGAAAAAAAATATTTCTCTTCCTCTTGCACCCCTCTTTAAAGATAGTTTTGAAAAACTTGTGACGTTATTTATTACTTTTAATAAAGAATATTTCCTACGAGTTTGAAATAACTGCTACCAATAATAACGAAGTTTCATACAATTTTCCAACCCCCTATTTTGTACCCTAAGGTGTGGAATTTTTGAAAATGCTTTCTTAGTGCACCTGCAACACCTAAGGAACATTAGTGAAATTTCATGCTTCTAGATCCAGCGGTTTCTTCTTTTATGTAATTATATAGATAGGTAGTTGATTAGTTATATAGCTTATAAGAAAAACCTATAAGAATGTACTTTTTTTTTTTAAACAGTTAATCCTCTCAAAGCGAGTGGTATTCATAAAGGATATAGATCTTTTCTTTTTGTTTTAGTGACAAAAATGATCATCCCTATGAAAGGGGAGGAAGAAAGAGTTACCCTATATCTAATTTAATCAGCGATCTTTAGGGCATTAAAGATTGATAATGGGCATTTTGTGACGTTATTAAATAGCTGTATGATACACTCGGTCCAACAATCTTAACCTGGCAAGATAAACAACAACAACACTACAGCTATGGCCTTTATGATGGAAAGCATGCCTTTGGAACCCAGTCACTGTTAGAGGGGTCCAGCCACTCATTTCAACTATATACACAATCTGGAATCTTTCATATTGTTTCAGGTTTGAAAGCTTCAATTAAAAATTATTAATGTACCAACAATCCAACCACAACAGAGTGCAAAAGTAACACTGAGACAAGCTTTGGAGCAAGACTAAGAATCCTGGTAAGATAATCATATTGTATTCTTTAACTTTTGTATTTTTCTTTATTAGAATTCTTGTTGTTTGAAGAGTCTTGTATGATAAATGAGTATAAATTTCACATTCATTGGATATGATCATTAACGGTACAGTAATAATATTTTATTTCTATAAAAGCTGCAAATATTGATGTCCTGCCAACTTTATCCTGTGTACCTAGCTTCAGTTATAAGATTTAATACACATCTGTTTATGATATACTTAATTCCTGGGAAGATACTAACGTCTAAGATACAGGCTCGGCCTAGTTTACATGTAACGGATCATCAATTATTATAAACACACAGTTCATAAGGACACTAAAAGCATTTTTGTATGTTAAAAATCAAATGTATTATCATGGTGTTGACATGGTATCAATAAATTATTATTATTATAGTTGTTGCATCATTTCAAGCATCAAACTCAGGATACCTTCCTCTTGTTATTGATCCTATTAACTCATTTCATAGTCATTGTAGACTCCGCAGGACATTTATAAAAATTAAAACAATTTTCTGAAAGGTACCTATTTCTTTATGTTATAAAAAGTCTTTTTAAAAATATAGTAACAGAATGTTTCCTTAATAATTACTACAGCTACAGCTTTTGTGTTAAGATTTTAATAATAACTTTCAATGACTTTATTGATGTTGAAAAGGAAGAACATTAGTCAATAATGTTCCTAAAACAGTTGTTATAAGATTGTGAATTGTGTTGAATGATTTACTAATCATTAAAATATTGCAATGTGTTTCTGGTAATGGCCCGATTTCTAAAACAAGTAGAAAGACTTAGTAGAAGCTTACCTAACTTAAAATTAGACTTAAAAAGTTAGCCATAACTAAAGATGGCAAAAGGAATAAAGGTCAGAGTATTGTGTGTAGATTACTTAAGTACTTTAGTAGTGATATTTATTTCTCAATATTATTACATATAAGTCAAGCACTTACTCATTATGCATTTTGCCATCTTCACAACCAATTAATAATACAATAACACTATATTGATTAGGTTACAATACAGATCCATCAAATTGAATGGCTAAAATATCTGGAGTTCGTAGCAGGGCAGAGCTCATAATAACATGGGAAGGTGTCGTCAAGCTTCTCACAAAGACCTCCGAGCCGTCAGGATTCCATCCAGCAAAAGTAGCATTTAATGATGTTTTTTCATAGGTTAGGATATTGCAGGGATTACCTGGAGATGATACATTTATTAATTTATTATATAATGTTAGTGAAAAACTAAAAACGGCTCAACAAGTCTAGTAAAGTTAATATATGAAAAATTCAAGAGTGGGTAGGTACTAGATCAAGAAATACGCGTTTCTTTTTTAAAGGAAATCTACTTTAGGGAATGTTTATAATTGGTATATGATGTTTCGCCACAATACCTTCAACCGTGTATAGTAAATTAATGCAAAGAAAATACTAACCATTTAATTCATTTATTGCTCTTAAGAAAGATTCTCGGAGCTTTGCTCTAGCTTGTTGTTCCTTTGTTGCTTTACTGACGTTTTCATCTCTGTCCGATGTCATGATTTATAAATTAACTTGGGGACAAAAGTATTTTAAAATGGTTTTAGTAATCTAAATAAAAATAGAAAATAATTTTGTATCCATATAAAGCAGTATTATTGTTTTGACAAATAAATCAATTGTTGACTTGACACTGACATTGCCTTAAAGTACTCTATGGGCTCTGTGGCTGTTATATTTTTCCTGTGACCACAGATCAGAAACAAAAACTTGAAACGAAATGTTACAAACAGGAAGAAATAGCAATGATATTTTGTCCTTACTGAGATGTCTCGTTGGAGAGAACAGTTTTAAAACCTTGTATTTATGAAATTAGAATTTCATAATTTGTATATTAGGATAGAGATCTCGGCATTGCCAAAAAAAATAGTTAGTGAATGTAAGTAATTAGTACCTACTATCTTTATTCCTCCCGTTTGTATGTTTAATGTATTAAACACAAGTACCTGGATGATCGAGCTTTGCTCGTAGTTTGTCGTTGCTTTTGCAGTTTTTTTTTAAAATTGAAAACGAGGCCTAGCTAGATCGATTAATCGCCCCCGAAACCCCCTGCATACTAAATTTCATAACCGTTGGAACCGTTAGAGATTTAGATTATATATAGAAGAATTGCTCGTTAAAAGGTATTAGATAGATAGATAAATAAAAAAGGCATTTTGTGTTTTACAGAACTTCAAAATAATTTTGTTTTTCGTATTTTAAATATGCATATAAAAAGTATTTCGTTATTTGTATAAGAAAAACAAGCATTTCTTTTGCTCAGCTTTGTTAGGTACAAAGCTGAGCAAAATAAATGCTTGTTTTTTTACAGTAACATAATTATCAACCAAGAAATCTTACGCGTATATCAAGAAACCTACTTGAAAGCTTGAAAACTAGCATCGTTAACAAGTAGTTTCTGCTTAATGGAAAGTTTTGTTAAGTTTCATGAAATTAAAACAAAGAGATGTTTGTCCCCGTCTCGTATAAAACGCAACTAAGGCTTCGTGCAGCGTGCCAACGATGTCGCGCCGACTCGCAGCGGCTTTAACGGAGCGGCTCAGTGTAGCGTACCCGCGACTGACGACCGACTACAGCGACCAGTTGTCAGAGGATTGCGATTTCTGAGCGCAATTTTTTTGTAAATATGTTTTATTCTAATAATAGATGCAGTTTGTAACAGATGAAATCGTAAAACAATTTTTTCCAATAAAGAAATTTCTGATACTAGGTACCTACTCTTCTTAACGACGCCAAACTACGAGTATAAGTATGTTCAACACGAACCCCAAATAAGTGCCTAACTAAATTGTGAATTGTTTTCGGACGGTCGTAGGTTGTCGCTCATAGCTAGTCGCCCGCAAGCTGCACTGCAATTTCATAGCTGGAAGTGGCCGTGATCGAAGTGGCGCGCTGCACGAGCTCTAAGGAGCAAGTTTTGAAAGGCCCGCTTTGCTAAGCGAGTTTCAAATTATAGTTTGGGTAAGAACGTGAGTACGCTTCTACCCTTAGCAAAATATATGATTACTAAAGTTTTAGGCCACATTGTTATGTCCCCGTCTTTATATCTTGGTATTTTAATAAAGTTTTTGAATAAATAAAAATACGGACAAGTGCATCTTGGAATCGCCCACAGAGGGTTCCGTACAAATTTGTAGGTACATAATATATTATAAATAGTTCAGCTTTTCTCTAAATTCAGTTTCCAAAACCTATGATTACTTATATTATTGTTTTACAGTGAAATTGTACTTCGATGACTGAGTACGTACTTCAAATAAAGACTATATTTCTTATGATTTAATTACAAATGTATAGTTTGCAGATTTTTTCCCTGTACTTGTAGTACAAAATGTTACTTGCTAAATTTCATAGTTCTAGGTCAACGGGAAGAACCCTATAAATTTTGATTTGCTTGAGTCTAAATATGCGTTTTTACGGCATAAGCGGCCGTATCTCTTTCATAAATATGTTAACTTACAAATTTGATTTTTTTACAGCTTCAAGGGACTACAAACCTAGTATATGGTTTTAATTTTAACTCGCTACCTTCACGCATTCCCGAGAAAAAAGTCCATATTTTGCTTTCGAGGTACGGGACCCTAAAATTGTCATGGCTGTCACATTTTACGAACTTTGTATAATACGAGATAATACTGGGTTATAATTCCAAATATCCTATCACGAATTAATGGCAGTTTACTTTCGATTACTTAAATCATTATTGAATTAAAATGACTACTAGAATTTTTCCTAATTGTAGCTACTATATTTGCAAATTCTAGGTAGCACACAAACACCACAGCCGAGTGCTGGCCATCAGGATCATAAGGAGGTACCGCACGATCTCCTTTGAAGCGGCGAGTCTCCTGGCCGGAACTCCACCGTGGGACCTCGAGGCGAGAGCCCTTGCGGCTCTGTATCAGTGGCGCAAGGAGGCGCGGGAGTTGGGTCGGTGTCCCGAGATTCGAGAAATCGATGCCCGGAAATCCCAACTCCGCCAGGTCATCATAGGGGAGTGGAGGGAACGACTCGGGCAACCGAGCGCCGGGCACGCCGTCATCGCGCCCGTAAGACCCGTTATGGAGGATTGGCTCGAGAGGCGTCACGGGACCCTCTCATACCGACTGACGCAGGTGATCACTGGGAAAGGATGTTTCGGGGATCACCTGTGTCTGATCCGCAAGGAGCCAACGCCTGAGTGCCACCACTGCGATGGCCAGACCGTGGACACGGCTCTCCACATGCTGGCAGAGTGCCCGGCGTGGGTTGAGCAGAGGCGAGACCTCGTGGTGGCCATCGGAGTGGGAGTTCTTTCGCTCGATAGCCTAATTGCGGCTATCGTGCGGAGCAAGAGTGCGTGGAACTCTGCCGTCTCCTTCTGCGAGCAAGTTATGCTCGCGTTGCGAAGCGCGCTCGCTTCCAGGGAGCAGAGGGAACATGGGGTGCCCACACGGGGGGGGGGTCGTCTACTTGTTGTAGATGACCCGAGGTATGTCGGGGCACCAGGGACTTCCTTTCTAGGGTATACCTGGTTCCCCGGCTATTAGTATCCGAGGTGGTGGTGGTGGAGGAGGTGGTGGTATCCGAGGGGATTTCCGCACGGAAAAAAAAAAGGTAGGTAAACACCTCTTTTTAGTTTTTCTTATGTAGGCAGTTGTTTTCCTACCTACTAAATAATAAAATAATATAATTGGTACTTTAGATACCGGTACTACTGGTAGTACTTTGAGCACGGTAATTTGATACCGTGCTCACTTTCGAGGATTTGTAATTAGCCTTTGTACAACTTTGGAACCGTCTGGGATACAAGACTTAATTTCTGTTAATTAGTCAGAATGATGCATATTCGTTAAAATCTACTCTACCTACAACACGACGTACTAAATGATATTTCATTGCAGTAAGAAAAGAATACAGTTAATACCAAAGAAATAAATATACGGGAAAGAAGGTACATACCTAACTGGAATATTCTGCAGGACTAGTATTATGCCCTCCTCGGTCCAGCACTACCTAACTACCTTGCCCCGGATCTGTATATGTAGACCAGTTTTACGAGGTCCAGCATGGAAGACTATACATCTTTTTAATAAGAACTCACTATATTTACTTTTGTAATTTATAACGACTTACTGTGATAAAATTATCCGGACCTCACTGATATGAATTTTATTACCACCATCAAGTGTTTTATTATATTAGGAATATATACTGTCTTATGGGACTTTACATACAAGAAACGGACACAAAGAACAAACACTCAGAACAACAGTTTGTAGATCACACAAAATCAGTGTTGTCCCATGTGGGGATCAAACCCCACAACACAGCCCAAAAGGAAGCGGCGAGGTGGCTGCTTAAACCACAAGGCCATCCGTGCACTGATTGCATGCAGATTGTGTCAGTTAAGTTTATCCATTCTTTTAGGAAGTATAGTGCCTTATTCTTCTCATTAAACACAAAGTTTCTAAAGGTTTGTTTTTATATAACTTAATCACAACAGATAATGAAATAAAACCCAGAGTAAAATTAATGGTTTATTTCTTCAATCTACCAGTTCATTCCCATTCATACACAATAAAATCGCATTAACATCATTACGATCGAAAAAATAATAATTTGATAAATACCTGAACGGCTCCTCAGAGGAAACTGGTTTACACAAAAAAAAACAGTGTTCCTTCCTATAGAACAAATATCAGTGGTGTGACTACACTGTTACAAACATTTACATCTAATCGCAAAAAAATTAAAAGTCCATGTAATGTGGGACTTTCCGCTACATGCATTTTATTAATCAAGTGTTGCCGCTAACATTAGCTTCCTTATTAATATGCGTGACTATTCTATGTCACCTCGAAACCGATGGACGTATGTCGAAAGTTCTCGAACGCAGTCGCACGCTCGCCTCTTCTGTACAGTTCGCTTAAGTTCAAAAGTACCTCATTGATGAGCAGCGCAGCACCAACTGCACGCAGTTCTTCGTCTAATGCTTTCCAACTGAAAAGTCCATGGAGCAAGCTAGTAACAGGTACTCAGCAGCGGATTACGGAACTGACTTGTCAATGAGGAGCAGAATAGATAAATACAAGGAATAAGGAAGTAACTGTAAGGTGTTATAATAAATTGAACTGTTTGGAATATAATCACTGACAATTCATTTCCATTTGGATTTTTCTTGGGATTCAGGTTAATTATGAAATTGCATGGCAACAGGTTTTGATAATAAATTTACTCACAATTATTTATCAAGAAATTTCCGTTAGCAATTTTATTATAAATAAAATTCTGAGAAAACTTGATACCATGCAGAGCATTATTTGGGTACCTGGAAATACACAGTAGATGATGTGATAACAGCATCCATTTTTTGTGAATTAGCGAGCACAGAATATGCGTTCCATTTTTCTCCGTTACATAGCAATAATCATGGTGATTATGTAAAAATAACTAAAAGAAACATTTTATACTTTATACGTGTCCTCGGTACAAATTATTTTTAACACCTACTTAGTTAAATTCAATAAATTATCCTTCCAAATCGTAATTTTTTCTCCAACAAAACCTTATGTCGGTATAACCTAACAAATACCTGGCATCTCAATCACGATGGGCATCAATCGACTGGCGACAAATGACGACGACAAAACATAACATCTTGAAATACCTCAAAACGACGTCGAGTCGACCTCCTTATATGGCGAGAACTTACTAGAAAACCGCCAACATTCTCTAATATCCAATGTATTCATCAGATGTGAGAGATATGTTGTTGGCGATCAACAAATAAGTCGTCTGCCATAGTCGAACCACGGCAACTATTCAAAATACCAATCAAATACCTGCCAAGTCCGTCGGTGTGACGACAACTACCGAATCGAGAGTACAATGGGTGTCAATACTCCCCATATGTTTGCCATTTACCGAAGTAATATTTTGGTATGCTACATATAAGCTGTAAAACAAGTGTTCACTTTATTACTTGTAAAAGTCTCAACTTTTAGAGGAGGAGAGTATACAGTGTAGGAACATAAAGAAAATAGTTGATTAATGGTTGCCAAAAGTATTAATGAGGACGGGGTTCGGGTGGTGTGTATGACTATGTCCTCGGTGTGTTCGTCATGGACGCTTCACAAATTATATGGAGGATTGTGTACTTGATATACTTACCGGTTTCAGGCGCAATTGTGATACCTCAGTCATTGCTAGTGGCGGTCGCGCGAACGTCGCCGCGAGCGCTCGTGAGATGATCCTAGAACGGAGTAAGTTCACTATGCAGTGATTTACAATGTATGAATACCTATGATGGCGTGAGAGAGTGATGCTTATGCCAGCTAGACCAGATAGATACCACGGCATCACAGAAAACCGGTTTTCACCATGTGAGTGAGGTTACCATAGGTTCATACCACCCCGAGGGTGAAGTGCGAGTTCATTTCACATCTACTCGATCGTCACGGTGACCGCGTTCGGCGCTGCGATTGTTTGAGATTTCAGTGCGGGTCAATCGCAGCGCCGAAAGCGGTCATGCATATTTAAAACTAACAACACTTATTGTGAGGAATGCTCAAAGGGTGAGCACGCACTGGTGACATTTGTTGCAAGAGTCCCTGAGGGGGAGTAATCACTTGCCATCAGGTGACCCGTTTGTTGTACCAAGGATTTCCTTTCTAGGGTACACCTGGTTCCCCGGCAGCTGGTACCCGAGACGGCGTGCGGGTTTTGGTCGGTTCGAGTCCGACATAACCATCCCACCGGTGGGTGGTATCAGAGGGGATTTCCGCACATAAAAAAAAGGTCACTAGCTGAGACCCGCGGTGTTACCCGCGTTTGTTGTTATAACCGCAGGCGACGTCGCGGGGCGAAGCTAGTCTAAAAAAAAGTAGCCTAAGTTACTCCTTATGTCATCAGCTATCTGCCAGTGAAAGTCCCGTCGAAATCGGTCCAGCCGTTCCAGAGATTACCCGGAACAAACAGACAGACAGACAAAAATTGAAAAAAATGTTATTTTGGCATATGTACCGTGTAAACATACATATGCATTTAGTAAAAAGCGGTTATTTTAATATTACAAACAGACACTTCAATTTTATTTATTTGTATAGATAAGACATTAAGAAGTAAATATGTTTTAACGTAATCTTTACTAACTTCTCTCCTTGCGGTGCTTGCGGTCGCGCTCGCGATCCCTGTCCTTGTCACGATCGCGCTCCCGTTCCCTATCGCGGTCCTCATGGCGGCTCGACTTCTCGCGGGTGCTAGTGAAATTAATAAATCACAATTTAGTAAATAGTTCTTCCGTATAACTTGTAATATGCCACCACTTCGACAACTTAGTACATATGGAATCTACTTATTAACAATTTAGTGAAATTTTAGCCTTAAGATAACATCAGATATGATATATCGCCTTTATAATAGAAGATGTAAGTTTAACAAGTTGCCCCAAAGACTAAAAACACAATGTTAAAAAGTTAAATTTGTATTTGACACACATTTTATTAAACATTTTGTTTGTTTTTTTTTTATCTGACTACTCCTTCCCTAGGAATATACCCTGTGTCGTGTAAGACTTAACAAAATGTTGTCTCATGTGGGGATCGAAACCATAACACTCAACGCAGTAGGAAGCGGCGACGTGACCACTGAAACCACTACGCCATACGTGCAAGTGCAGTCAACATAACATTCGATCTTTACTCACCGATGACTTTCCCTGTCTCTATCCCGTTCCCTATCTCTGTCCTTTTCTCTATCCTTATCCCTATCTTTTTCTCGTTCTTTTTCCCGTTCACGATCTCTATCACCACGATCGCTACGATCTCTATCACGTTCGCGGTCACGCTCCATACGCTCACGATCGCGCCGATCAGACCCGAGACCCCCACTCCGAGCACTACGATCTCTTTCTCTTTCCTCCCTACGCCTTCGTTCTTTTTCTTGTTGTTCTTTTTCACGCGATTCGATCATTTCTTCGTAGGCTTGACGAAGCTTAAAGTATCTGAAATAACATATAATGAAGAAAGTAGATTAATAATTATCAGATTCATAGCCTACACTATTATTATGCATACACTATTATATGCATATTATGCAAGTATTTAGTGCAATTTAGCATATAGCATTTCGTGTGCTTAATATAAGAATGAAAACTACACAAGAACCTAATTTTTAAAAGAACACAACAACAACAAAGTAACTTTGAACAGGGCACTAGGATATAAATTCAACTAACCCAACATGTTGTTTCCCAGAAAGATGGTCGTCGATACGTTGTTGCGCGTCGCCAACGATCAAGAACGCGCCGCACACTGGACATACTTCCATTTGTTTTTCTTGCGCTGCCGCTAGTTCAGCTGTCATGGACCAGTGGCTGAAAATAACATACTGTTAGAGAGAATAATCGTTTAAAGGGGGATCCTTATAAGGCGTCAAAAGTTTAATAATCTAAGTTTCCAAATTTAAAATATATATATAATTTTTGCAAGTATGTTCACCCTTTTATTCAACATATTTCCCCAATTAAGATTTGGAAACAACCATTGGAAATCCACTCTTTAATTGAGATATGCTGTTCATTACATTAACAGATTACTCACTGGAACAAGCACTTTCATTTGGAGTCTTTACTTACGTAAATTAATTGACTTCAAGCACAAAAGTAAAACAATATAGAAGTTTGAATGTTTTCTCTAAAACAATAAGTCCTAACCACATATTTATGATTTTAATTTTCAGCTAACCTGTTCTCTTGTTGTTTAAGTAACTGTTCCTTTTCTTCCTTCAGCCTGTCACAGAGTTTCATCAGCCCTTGTGCTTGTTCAACATCTCCTCTTGTCCCTGCTTCTTCAGCTTCTTGGACCAAAGCAGTAATTTTTTCTGATAGCAATTGCACCTAATAACAAAAACAAGAGCTATGATTTTTAAAGAGATACCAAGTGTGAATTAAGAAATTCATCTAGATACATACCTATATACACATGTACAGCCATAAAATACTTTTATTGTGTTTATGTAACAGTGACTAAGCCAACTAAAGATCTTATTATTTGAAAATGACAACAAATGCATAAAATAAATAGTAATGATTTAAAAAGTAATTACCATTTATTTTATCATATATACGGATTATGCAATGGCAACTCTACAGTAGTGAGGTTTCCTCATAGACAGGCAAAAAACATAACAGGTTTTTAGGAAGAAATCCTGCAATCTCTATAATTTGTATAATACTTTACACAACTTTTGTACCACAACAGATCCTAGAACAAGCCTATTAAGGTAACCACAATTAAAGAACCATACATTAAGTACACAGGTGGTTTTGAAATGTGTGCATATTAATGAATACAATTTTTATCTGATCTATTTTATTATTAAAGTTACTATTTAAGGGAACTTGACGAAGATAAATGCAATTGTTCTGTCAATTTAATAGTTTCTGACATATTAATAAAACCTAAAAAAATGTATCTCTTATAATTACAACGGAACGTTTACCTACCTGTTCTTGATTTTTTTCTGTTTGGGCTTGAGTCATTGGAGGACCCTCAGGTTTTGAATTCATTAGTTCTAACCTCTGTTTACCTTTTTGTATTTTTCCTAAAAATACACAAATATATTGATTTAGGATACATACTTTAGTAGTGAGAGAACCATGCTTCGGCACATATGGACGTGACCAGTCTAGAGGGAGTCATATCATGATCTCACAGAAGACCATAGTTAAACATTCTTTCATAGCTTTTCACCCAACAAGTGAAGTTACCAGAGGATGACTATAAATACTTAAATATCTAATTATTATAATAGTTTAGTATAACATTCAAGTTAATAAGCAAATATGACATTTGCGTCTCCTAAGTTGCAGACGTTCATGGGCTGTGATGGTCACTTTTCATCAGGTGACCTGTCTGCTCGTCTGCCCTTTCTCACATTAAAAAAAAAAAAAAATTCACTCTACCAGTACAAGGAAGCGCCTGCTATTATGCATCATACATAGTTCAGGTTTTATACAAGGTAACACCTGTGGTGTGCACAAATGTCTATACTGATCATTAACCAAGTGCTTCTTTGTGGTCAGTACAATAACAAAATTTCAAAAGTAATTTTTAAATACTTACTTTCTACATCATTGATCATGTGGCGACAAAAGCGTAGGAATTCTTCAACATATTGTGCTTTCTTATATGACACCTCACATTTATCAAACAACACTTTAACTTCATCATCATGCACTTTAGGGCAAACTCCGAGATCTGCTCTAGTATTTACAAACAAATCATGTGGACAAAACTTCACCATGTAATATTTACAGTACTGAAAATAGAATGCCAGATGAAAGTTCAATTTTAATGGAAAGCAAAACAACTGTATTTTTAAAATCATTTTATTTTATTCTAGACAGATTGATCTGCCTGAGATAAACAAGAAAATAAATAGTTCAGGACTTGAGTTCATTTACAACCACTGACAGTAAATCAATAGTTTATTAAAGTAGACAAAACATGCAACTACATTGAATATTTCCTACACAGTGCCTAAGTATTATTTCCAATTATAATTTTAAGCATTTCAGAATATAGTGCAGTTGAAAATATATTTATGATAAGACTTAGTCACATGACTATAACTTTATATGTATTGCTGAATGAATAACAAACATTTAATTTTTTTAAGGCCATATCCTGCTCTACGAGTATATTTTCCTGCATTGCAAGGGATTTTACAAGTACACATAAAACAGACACAAAGAAAACATCTAATAATAATTGAAAAACAATAACTAAAATGACTATCCCATATAAAGATGAATTGATAAGTTTCAGTTTAAATTTTATAAAAAGCATGGCATTATTTAATATCATCTGTATTGGTTAAACAAATCACTTCAGTGTTTGTGTAAATTATATAAATTGTGTATATTATATATTAACCAAAAATAGTTGTTGAACAAAACAATATTATACTGAAACTGTTTTTCATCTAACTTTTACGAGATATATATACGAGATCGATGTGATTGAATATTTTAACTGTTTATGTTGCATTCTTATATTAGCAAGAACTAAATGCTGTTCTGCTATAAAATATACCGGATACAATAACCGTAAACAAAACTAAGCACTTTTGTAAAATAGCAAATCCATACCGATGTGATATTATATATAAATACCGATATGTAATTAACCTACAAGATAACACGAGACTGCTAATCTACTGCTTTATTATGAAAGATTGTGTTATTTACGTGAACACATGTTTATAAATAGGTAATTTTATAATCTATAATGAGACAGCTAAGGCGATACCTATATAATTCAGCTCTTACCTCAGGATCTTCCCAATTTGGCTTCTTGATTTTTTCATTAGGATTTGTATTCCGATGTCTACCCATTAACTCGTCGAGCAGCTGAGCCGCGGCTAGTACCGCCATTATTATTCCCTTTATAACTAATTCTAGTAGGAAATCTAATCTAACTTAATAATTATACAAGCAATGTAATACAGTCATTGAACATCAATAATTTATAACTAGAACACCAAGTTATACCCTTCACCGTAAACGCTCTTAACCATAGATAAAACAGTATAAATCCAAGACTCAACTCAACCAACCAACGTGAAATGCAGTGTTGCCAGCTCCTAATAATTCGAGTCGCAAGACCCAATATCACAAGTCGACAGACTGATTCTGCCAGGAGTGGACTCAGAATTTTGTTAAAAAGAATTCTAAGTAGAAAAAGAAATACATAAAAAAAAATCTAATAAAATAAATAAGCAAGAGCAAGCTAGAGATTATAAAACAATCAAATCAGTTTATATCAATCCGATTGTTCAGTCAGTGTAGAAAACATAATTCTTGAATACCCTAAACCGCATTGCTCTTGTGTTAGCACTAGTGTTGTAATAGACTAAAGTCCTTTAGTGCCAACTTCGAGACTGAGTCTGAGATTTCTCAGAACTCAAGACTAAAAAGTCTCAATCTTAAGGGTAACCCGCTAAAATTGAATCTGGATTTATGAAATGATAGCCCGAAGTCACGGGCTCTATTTCAGGAGACTCGTGTCAACTCTAAAAGACTTACACACGAGTCTCTTGTAATGAGAGTAAGTTTGAAGTCCTAAACTACTAAAAGTTGCAGTGCTGTGAAATTTTTAGTTGTAAGTCATTGGTAAACAACATTCGCGAGTCATTTTCTATGAATTTTAGATATTGTGATAATAATATGTAGATGTAATAAATTATCTTGGCATGAATATGTCATGCGGAGAGTCATTTCCTCATGAAAATGTGGCGACGAAATTGTTAGGTATGGGGGTTGAAGGGTACAAGAGAAGAGTTAGACCAAAGAAAAGGCAAATGGACTGTTTGAGTGAGGATATGGCTGGGAAGAGAGTAAACAGAGAGATGGCGAATGATAGAGTAGAATGGGCGAATCATACTTACTGCGCTGACCAGAAATAAAATTAGGAAAAGGGTAGGCAGGTTAGATACATATATAGAAAAAAAGTAGAAATAAGAAAATTTAAAATTGTTTGAGTATTTTGATTGATTTATTTGAGGTTAAATAGGTTTTTGTATTAAATAATATATAATCACTTAGGTTGGTGACGGCTTTTCTCGTGTCTACTACGATACGGCTGAACTTCAATTTAATACGTGATTCGATTTTTTATGTGATTGCCATCAGACCTCGTTACCTAAATAGACGATATCGAAGTTCTGTAGAAAGACTGCTGTCGTACTTTTTAGGGTTACAACTAACCGTAACGATAGCCACAGATGTTCGTATGACAACAAGGACCGACGAAAAACGTGCTCACCGAGGCACGTAGGGACTTACTACTGGTAAAAATAATGTAATTTTCAGTTAACACTTCGAAAAACAAGATGTTGTTGGACAGAAATATATTTTATTATTACTTAATATTACATTAAAATTTTTTTTTGTCAAATCGAAAAAATTAATTAAGTTAAGAAATTGAAAATTTCAAATAAAGATTGATAAGTTATTGATGATGTAGTACGTTGTTCTTTAGCCGGTGATTTATTACTATAGAGCCAGTGGTCGCATTCAGGTTTTCTAAATCTCCTAAATACTATGCAGGCGCTGAGGTTAGAGTAGTATACCTTACTGGGTTATATGTGGTCTGCTTGTGCACCTTAAATTTGGCGTGCAAGTCGCTTTTCATATATATATAAATATATATTTTCAAACATTAAATAAAAAGAGCATTCAAATTTTACACAATAAATGTTTTTTTTATATAAATCTTAAACCAGATTATTTCCTAACGCTCTCCAAAAAAATATTATTTAAGTAGAGCTAGTCTTAAAAAATTATAGTTTAAAAAAACTAAAAAACACGCTATCTATAGAAAACCAAACTAAAAAATAGAAAATAAATTTGAAAAAAAAAGCGTGGGGTGCTTTTTACTATTGACAACAGACACCCAACGCTAGTCTTAAAAAAAATATAGTTTAAAAAAAAACTAAAAAACACGCTTTCTATAGAAAGTGTGTTTTTTAGTTTAACTAAAACACGCTGTCTATAGAAAGCATTGACCTAAGAATATATGGACTAGCCATACCTACAAAATTATCGTGTATACCTACAAAAAAGTTGGCGCATAAAATGGCTGCCTTTAGGGTTGTCTTATGTAAAGCAACTCGAAATGCCGATATCGATATTTGAGTGAAATATTGAATGAATTGAAGAAATATCGATAGCATTAAATAATGTTAGTTGTGGTGTTAGTTATGTATTCATGGTAGGATTTTTTAAATGTGAATCCGCCAGGATGGATTAATTTTTTAATTTAATTCTAATAAGAAGTTTAAAAGTGTTTTTGGAAGTTCCTTCAAGTTTCCATAAAGTTTGCTCTTTATGGGTATGTCTGCGAAAATGTATAAAAACTTATATTCCTGGCACCACATGACTACTACAATGCACAACATCCTAATCTTTGGGGCAACTGGGGTTTGTTCTACAATCTAGATGTAATGAATTGATTATTGCTCAGCTGAGATCCCTTAATGTCTCGTATACGACAAAAACCAGGAAAGAAATCCATACCACATACTAAAAAGCCTTAGAAATGTTGATTTCTGTTGAACCCCGCATGGCTAAAGAAAATTCCTCTGATGAGGAATCTGCCGCAGACGATTCTGACAGTGTAACTAAAGAATTATGTTCCAGTGAAGAGACGTGGGAGTCTTCATCGTACATGAAAGGTTTTTTTTAGTTTTAAAATAAAGAATTATTTTTTATGTAAAATTGCTAGATAGATAGATGTTTCACATAAAAAAACCGGTCAGGTACGAGTCGAACTCGTGTGCCGAGGGTTCCATACCTACCCAGATTTTACGTGGATTTTAGCGAAAATTTGTGAGTACCAAAATTTATCTTAATTTTCAACTTTTTTTTGGAATTATGCCTTTATTTGTATTGTAATACATTTCTTTTTGCCAAATTTCGTGATTCTAGGTCAACGGGAACTACAATATAGGTTTTCGACCCAAAACCTATAGGGTACTTCCGGTTGACCTTGAATTGTCAATTTTGGTAAAAAGCAATGTCTTACAGCACAAGTAAAGAGAAAATTCTGAAAAGTAAAAAAAAATGAAAATTAAAGTAAATTTTGGTACTAACAAGTTTTCGCGAAAATCGAAATTTGCCTATTATCTTTTTATCGTGTTGACTCAGGACCTTGATTTTATACACCTAATAGGGACCATAGACCTCAGTATCTGGTATATATTACAACTTGCTGGGTCTACCCGTTCCTGAGAAAATCGGTGGTGACAAGAAAGTGATCTTATAAGGGTTCCTTTCTTACCTTTTGAGGTACCTAACCCTAAAAACTGTTAAACAAAAAAAAAAACGCAACATGTGGTAATTTCTTTTTATTCAAGAATAATTTTAAACAAATAATCACGCTCATAGTAAGCCCCTGTTTTTCAATTTCGGATTGACACTCAGCAAACACTGAGATGATATAAAAAATCCCAGTACTGGTTCAGGTTCTCAGCAGCTTCGTTATCAACCGTATTTCCAACACAACACAAATAGTTTAGAGAATCATAGGAGTACCAAGCATATCTGAATAAGCGACCTATATTATGTTGACATTGATAGAAATAACAAACTGAGTAAATAAAACTGGTTTTAAATAGGTATAAAATTTACTCATTTCTGAATAAAATTAACTTATTTAAATAGTTTCTAAAAGAAACTTTATCTGTCACCTTTTTTGCATGGTATCGGAACCTTAAATCAATAAAATCTTTAATAACAGATTTAATAAGTAACAATCTGTGATTTATGTTGTGCTCAGTATTGAGTGGCAAATAGAAAATGTTTTCGTATTCATAATATTCTGTCAAAAACTTAAAAATATATAAATAATAATTTTCTGGCTTCTTTTGGGTCGTGAGGTCGGGTTTTATCAATTTTTCGGTTTTATTTATAATGTCCACTACTGCAACAGACGCATACTGAAGACCACCTCGGGACTTCTGGTAAATCAAGCTGTCTGGATTTTCATCCCCTAACATTAGTGATACACAGGTGACACATTTTATCGTTTGAGACAACTTCTGCGTCACGAAAAAATATATAATCAATCTTTTGATCACGTCTCCGGACCTTTTCATTTAAACTCCTAACTTTTCTTTGTAGAATATCACACTTTTCTGTGAGAATCTTTATTTTTTCTTTTTGTGAACTTGTTGAACTTTCTTGTTGAACCTGAAAATTCGTAACATATATAACAATGGGGATAAAGGGTCAGAAATTAGGAAAGATTTCAATCAAATTTGGTATGAAGTTACTTTGATTCTTGATGATTATAAGATATTATCAATAGGCAATAGCTAATATCTTATAATTCACAAGTTTTTATTTATTTTGGTTAATAAATCACAATCTCGTCACAGGATTATTAATAAACGACTGATTAATAAATGTAAACCCAAGACTTAAAAGAAAGAATTGAACTTGTTTGTGCACATAATTAAATATAGGACCCACTCATATTTATAGGACGGCTCCGTTTGAAGGTATCTGAAGGTATAGGGTTTTTTTTTCTAGTTTTCTCTCTGTCAGTGATGTGGTCTATCTACCTTAGGTACTTATTTAGGTGCCTCTTATAACACCTTCAGGGTGGAATGGGGTAGTGGCATAGATTATTCTGAATCGGTCATTACAATATGTATTACAATGAATTACTATTTAAATTTATGATCATTTTTTATAAAAGTAGGCTATGTAATGTATAGTTACCATTGCACTTGAAGTAGATTGTGAGTCAAGCATGGTTTTTGGAAGGATTTGACTGGCCTGAAAGTAATAAAATTATTATTAATCATCATTGACATAGTGGTTTGTATAAGGGACTGCTATTCTAAAGGTCGCAGGTTTGATTCCCACTCTAGTCAAACATTTGTGTGCATGCACATTTAATGCTTGATTTGGTCTGGGTGTTTCTATGTACAACATGTATGTATTTATATCAGTTGTCTAGTACCCATAGTACAAGTGTTGTTTAATTGTTTCTTTGTTTAAATGCGCTAATCTCTGGAAGTATCAGTCAGATTTGAATAATTTATTGTATTGGATAAAGTATTCAATGAGTTATATTATAGACTATGTAACATCATACTCACTACTACTCAGGAGAGGAGCACTTACCATAAACGTAGGTGTAACTGCGGGGAATGACTAGTATTTGATGTAAATCCCATTATCTGCATTCTGATGAGCTTATCACATCACTTTTATATTTAAAATAAAATACCATACCAACCTGTAGCGAAGATAAGGGCACTGCACAGTCACGTAACCTCGTCACGCCAAGAGTTCTGTTGAAGGATGTTTCGTGGAAGTGCATCGAGCAGACATACCACATTTTATGTCGAGGGTTTATGTTTTCCAAACCAATGATATTGATCCATTTTCTTTTCAAAATTTCATTTACAGGAAATCTGATGAGGTAAACACCATTTTAAATAAAAAAGAAAGTATCGATACTTGACTCGATCATCACTACCCCTAATCGTATGTAAACAAATCAAAGTCAAACAAAGCAAATAACACCATTGGAAATCTCGAAAAACTCACAAACGTGTTCAGTAATTTTAAAAAGATCATCTTTAATACAATACATTAAACAAAATCCTAAAATATTGAACAATATCAATAAAAATATATGACTTACCTGTGAAGAGTCAATGTAGGATGATTATTGTTTTTTCTTGCACCACACTCTTTAATAGAGCACGAGGGCATGATTATCCCGTCTAGGGCAAAGCCTTGGATACAATAAAGACCAGTTTACAGCCGTAATATGGATGAAAACAAAACAACAACAACCGTTTGACAGCAGATATGTCTCAAGACTTGGTACCTAAAATGGCGACGGCGGTCACGAATTGACAAGTTCATGACGTCACTCGAAAGTGTTGCCAATATTAGTACTCACTTAACTATGTTTATCTCTCTTTTCTCACTAAGGTTTACATAAGTAAAAAGGAGATGTAATGCTTTTTGGTGTATATGTGTCGATCTTATACATATTTGTATAATGTATTGTTAGTATAGTAGAATAGGGCCACTCCGAAAGCGTGTTTTTTGGTTTTTTAAAACTATATATATTTTTTTTTTTTTAAATTAGTGTATCGTCATCGGTCCTCGATATATCTACAAAGTTTGAACGAATTCTCACCGTGTGAAGTCAGTCATAATCGCGCCCAAAGGAGCCGGTTTCAAACACACAAACAAACCCACAAGTGAAGCTTATATAAAGCGTGTAAAAAAAGAAATAAATGAAGCTACAGCACATATGAGTGCAACTTTAATTAAATTCGCGTTTGCGTTTTTCATTCATAGTTCTGTGTCTCTTGGCACTGTATAATTCGTCGATTATATATCGTCGAGTTAACAAAAATGTATTTGTTACAAGCCCTAAAATTATATTGATTTGTACTCCAAAACCCGTTAGATAAGTAGCTACAATATTCTTGTCGTCAAGTCTTATTTTTTGTCGCTAAGACGTCAATGAAAGTCGTCACTTCTAGCGACAAAGTCCCTAAAATGACAACACTGGTGAAATGAACGAATGGAATGTGTGAAAGACTTCTAGCAAAAAATCGATATTATATCGTTATTTTTGGCTAGACAAATTGAAAGCTTAAGCTTGAATTATTTTGAGACTATAATTCGTATAATCATGACAAACATTTTTCAAAAATATTTTATAAGTGTATTACTGCCGTAATAGATACGACCGAAAAAAACTATTGTCTACGATTAGTATGTTTTGATTGTGTTGCGTTCCATGCGTAAATCACTTTCAGCACCTATATACCGCAAAATTCGTGTTTCATGACGTGAATTTCGTCGTCTTCCGGCAGTAGTGCTGTATGGAACTTCTTTTTAAGAAGAGCAATAAAGATAGGGTCACATGCAATCTGGGTGGTAAAAAACGTTTAAAAAAGTGGCAATACTATAAATTTAGGTGCACATTTACGGAGGTGCATTCTCAGAGTTAAAAATGATGGTGATAATTCAATCTAGAATGCGGTACCTAAAACTAAAAAATGCAATAAAAATAAAAAACCATTGTTCATAAAACTAAACAAAGGACAATTTGTTGACATTTAGATGCAATGACGGAACTTACATATTGTCAACTGTCAATACCTACAGTGACGGATAGAATTTGACAGGTTTTAGTCACTAATTTTTACATTAAGTCAGTCAGTGTAATATTGTTTTGGTTTTTATAGTGTTTGTAATATTGTATTGTAAATGTACAAAAGTAAAGTTAAGAAAATAGTACATTACTATTATATTGATATTATAATTTAACATTACTTATGATTAGTGATTAAGTATTTTGAATATGGGTTCTTTATTTGGTAAACCTAAAAAACCCGTGAGTAGAGTTACAGAACAAGATAAGGCTGTTCTTCAATTAAAGCAACAGAGAGACAAGTTAAAGCAGTACCAAAAGAAAATAGAATTAAACCTTGAAAAAGACAGACAATTAGCAAAGAAACTTTTAACTGAAGGAAAACGTGATAGAGCAAAACTGCTCCTGAAAAAGAAAAAGTATCAAGAAAATCTTCTACAAAACACTGATAATCAACTTGAGCAACTAGAACAGCTGACCCATGACCTTGAATTTGCGCAAATTGAAATTCAGGTATGTATTCCATATTTAAGTACTTATGCGTTATTTTGTGCTTGTCTATTTACGATATGTTTAAGTCGAAATGAAAATGTTTCTTTGTTATACTTTGATGTTTTTTTTATATACCTAATCACACTCACATGTGAAAATTAGAATTGTTAAACTTGTTGCTAAGGGCAAAACCTGAAAACTAGATTTGAATAATCTTTTATATATAAATAGAAATAAAATAAATATGTATCTATACAAATAAATAAAATTGGAGTGTCTGTTTATAATTTTAAAATAACCGCTTTTTAATAAATGCATATGTATGTTTACATGGTATATATGCCAAAATAACATTATTTTCAATTTTTGTCTGTCTGTCTGTTTGTTCCGGGTTATCTCTGGAACGACGGGACCGATTTCGACGGGACTTTCACTGGCAAAAAGCTGATGACATAAGGAGTAACTTAGGCTACTTTTTTTAGACTAGCTTCGCCCCGCGGCGTTGCCCGCGGTTATAACAACAAACGCGGGTAACACCACGGGTCTCAGCTAGTGTTAAATAAGTGCAAAACTCGAAAGTCACGACTGATTTGACAAAGTTTTTTTTATATGCCAATTTATTATCCAATTAAGGTTTTTAAGAGGAGAAATATTATGAAAGTTGACTAGAAAATGAGGAATTTAGGGAATCATGTATAAAAAAGTTGTTAGGTCATCTGGTAAATCTAAAAAAAATGATTTTTAATATCCAGTATGTAATAGATAACTGTGTGCATTCACAATAATTAAATTACTAACAATGACGTTCTAAGCACAAAACTACATACCTATTAACTTCTATTGTGACTTCTAGGTTCTGGATGGATTGAAAACTGGAAATGTAGCTTTGAAAAAGGTTCATGATGTATTGAATATTGATGAAATTGAAAAAATCTTGGATGAGACTAAAGAAGGTATAGATAAGCAAAGGGAAATAGATGATTTAATCTCTGGTCAGCTAACAGAAGAAGACGAAGAGGCTGTTGAAGCTGAACTTGAAGCTATTCTAGATGTTAAGGATCAGCTACCAGAAGTGCCCAATGACAATCTCCCTGAGACTACAGACGAAGAAAGAGTTCGTGAGAAAAAGAAAGTTAAACAAAGTCCAAACAAAATTGCTCTACAAGCTTAAGTTAATATGGCCATAGCTATTGTACATAAGTTCTAAAGTAAAATATATTTTTGAATCATTACATTTAATAGATTTTTAATAACTTAACTTTCTCCTTGTGTACAAGGGCTTACACTTCCTGGCAACTAGCAGTTCACTTCACATGCAAGCAAACCTGACTTATATGCATCATCCCCTCCCCTTGTACATCTTATTTCGTATAGTGGCCTGCGCTGGGGTGTTCGCTAAAATAGCAATATAATTTTGCCTACAGATCCTTCAAAAGAGACATTATTAGGGCGAAATCAGAGCTCATCAACCGGATTGGTGACACTTCCTTCTGGAACTCGTGCATTCTGGTCTCTTGCCAAGGCAGTCCAGGGGAATTTCTGTAGCCAATCCCTAACACCCCTGCACATGGGCGATGATTCGTTGGCCTATGATGCCAGGGAGAAAGCCGATCTCCTAGGCGAACTCTTTGCGTCCAACTCGAGTTTGGATGACGGGGGAAACGTATCGCCCACCATACCGCGGTGCCAGAGCTGTATGCCGGAAATCTGGTTCACACAGAAATCAGTGCGTAAAGCACAATTTCCCTCGATATACATAAGTCGAGTGGGCCCTCTATCGTGCTGAAGACGTGTGCTCCGGAGTTGTCACCGGTTTTAACTCTCCTTTTTCGGCTCTCCTACTCCCTAGGCCTAGGCCAAAATTATTTTCTGTATTTTATGTATTCTAAATAGTTTATTTTGTGTTTAGTAAACCTACTTTAAGAAAAAAAAGCATGGCTGCAAGGCTTGGTAGACAAGCAAGTTATCCCAGTCACTGGTCTAGTATTCGCACCTTATAAATGACCAAGGCTAGGACGATTGCCTTTATCTGCTGACTAGTTCGTTCCGACATGACCATCAGTAGCAGGTATGGTGATAATCGTCATTAAAGACGTAGGACTAGTGCACAGCAGATTCCTGCTCTAACTAGAATTGACCTAACAAAATGAATAGACGTTAACACTACTGGCGTCAATAACATTATATAACTTTATAAACATCTTGACTGGCAGTGTTTTATACCACCTATCTTATAGTCTTCTTTTTCGCTGATAAGTCATTCTTGACTCTAAGATTAAGATAACATTACATTACATATTATTTACCCAAAGTGGAAGTTATCACGTAACATACACACCACATATCAGCTAATAAACCTATGTCATAATCATTCAACACAATTATCTATTTGTGCATGTATTGGACAAACTTAATACATAATTGAATAAAACACTAATATTATAATTATATTATATTACCTAGTTGTTTTATGGGCCGGCCCGACCGTTATGATTAACGTCGACGGCCGGTGTTATATATTTTTTTCGTTGCTCTGAGGTCTATACCTACCATAAAAAAATACAATTCGTCACAAGTTTTTTGTTATAAAGTAGCAAAACCACTTGTATGTATGTCATCATTTTCCAGCAATCTTGGATTTATAGATGTTAGATCGGCGCTAATAAAATGGCACCAACTAAACTAAATGAACTAATGGCACATTGCACTTCGCACTCGCGCTAGCCGTGTGACATTTAAGAAGAAATGCAAAGAAGGCATGAAATGTTATACTTACGATATTATAATCGGCATTTCAAAGTATTTAAATGGCACTTCCATGTATAAAAGAAAGTCGTGTTAGTTACACTATTTATAACTCAAAAACGGCTTTACCGATATGGCTGAAAATTGGCGAGGAGTTAGCTTAGAGCCAGGAGACGGACATAGGATACTATTTATTCCGTTTTTTTTTTTTGTATCGGGGTCGATCACCAGATGACAACTGTGGAACTGTCACAACAAAAGTGAAAAGAATGGATTTCGTTGTCGACGACAGTTGGATTGTTCCATATTCGCCACTTATTTCTAAAACGTTAAAGACACATTGCAACGTTGAGTATTGGTCGGAAGACCATCTGCGTTGTTTGTTTTTGCGCCTGATAAGAAAACAAAAAATGTCGTGTATCACAAGGTACTTAAGTGAAGAGCAACCTATGTACTGAAATGCAGAAACAATAATAAATGATTAATGTACTTAATTTTTTTTTCTAAGAAATAAATTAACTTAGTAAATTCGAAAATCGGCTTATTTATTGCCTTTAAGGCGGAACAGAGTTCGCCGGGTCAGCTAGTAGTTAAATAAGATTGGTTACTTTCTCTGCATGTGGAAAAAGTACTAAGGGTCTAATACGCTCTCTCCATGTGTGCATCTAAATTGAGGGCCCATTTTTTTAAACCTTGCGAAACGAATTTAGTCTTATAGGGAAATTGTTGAAAAATACTAAAATCTAAAGCAAAGGACATTTTAAATTAAAGCACCCCACAAAACACGAGTTCAAGTTACAAATATTTCCTTAGTCGCTTAAAAAAGCTTGTATGAGTAGATATACCGCCATAAATCTGTAATGTCGTATTCTACAGATGTGGAAATTTCTCATTTTTTTTTAAATAAAATCTTTACTAAATTCATAAATAAAATGATTAACACGGGGATAGTACTATCGGAGATTAAGGCTTAATGAATTGTCTGGATTGAGGGCCTAAGTTATTTGACTAACAGTTTTAATTCACATTTAAGAAATTCATGGCTTTTTGCTTTAGGGTTTTACTATTTTTCACTAATTTCCATATAGAACTTATTTTGTTTCACTAGGATTTAAAAAATAGGCCCTCGATCCAAATGCACACACGCTCCATTGTGATAAGGAATATCCTACACTTCTACAGACACTTCCTATACATTGCAATTTTGTGGCAATCCATTAGAACATTTATGCACAGAAACATTCATTAACGACAGTCAGAATTATTTTTTACTATAATACGAAATCAAGCAGATAAAATTTATATATTTTATATAGATACCAGAGTTTTTTAGGAGAACGTGTGTATTTTTATTTATCATGTTGTAAATCCTTTTAAAGTAGTAACACACATCACATCAACAGCTTTTACTAGTCCATTGCTGGACATACGCCTCTCCTTTGAGAGTAGGTTACAATGCAATGCAATGCAATGCAACAATGCAATGTAACAAGTATGAGTTAAGACTGCACGGATGGCGTAGTGGTTTAAGCGGTCACCACGCCGCTTCCTACTGCGCCGAGTGTTGTGGGTTCAAACCCCACATAGGACGACACTTTGTGTGATCCACAAATTGTTGTTCTGAGTCTGGGTGTTCTTTGTGTCCGTTTCATGTATGTTTGTAAAGTACCCCGCGACACAGTATTTATTCCTAATGCAGTTGTCTTTTTAAACAAAAAAAAAAAAAAAAATTAAGAAATGATTTTTAATTGCCATTTGTCCCAAAAATCTAAATACAAACATATCTTGCCGGCACACATTCATTTCAAGTTCCTTATCGCGCGTTACACGCTCTGAGCAGATAGGGACTAGACCGAAAAATGTGTAACAAGCAACGGATTTGCGGTTTTCACTCATAGAGAGAGTGATTCAAGAGGAAGGTTTATATGTATAACATATGCATATTATGGTAAAGGAAATCCGAGAATTTCAAAGATTTGTGATACATGTTTTTGTACGCTTACATTGTAAACGCTGGCTAAACTTTACGAGATAGACCAAAATAATGTACTATGAAATTGTATATTTTAAAAAGATCTACAAAAAAGTCCGCGATGGTATATGTCTATCTCCTAAGGATAAACCACAGTAACCATTTTTATCTTTAAAAATTTTCAAAAAAAATATGGCTCATTTACGAAGCTATTTTAGAGAATACATTATTATACCTTTTCCAATTAAATATTTTAGATATATTGTGCATTTAATGTAGATTAAAATTGCTCTTTCCAGCATATCATTAAAATGAATATTTTAGAAGATATTAGAGATTTAAAGTGGCCGTCGCCGCGTTTGCCGTCGGGTCGTACGTCCGTCCCGGATGGCAGCGGCAGGCGAGATCGGAGCATCTTTATATTGTAATATTTATAGGCCCGCTCCGATCCTGTCTGCCACTGCCACCCGGGACGATAAAAGATAAAAATGGTTAGTGTGGGTTATCCCTAGGAGATGCCATATACCGTCGGGCAGTTTTTTAACCGACTTCAAAAAGGAGGCTCTATGTTCCACTGTATGTATTTTTTTTATGTATGTTCACCAATTACTCCGTCAATTGTGGACTGATTTCCAAATTTTTTTTTAATAAAAAGAGCATAGTCCTGACGATTAGAAACCTGGATTAGAAACTTGAACTACATACCTAGCTTGTCTTAGTTATAATTTGAATATTTACAATTAGTCTTAATTTTTTGGCTTTGGCTCTAAGTCTCAAAGAGCAACACCATCATTGGGACATGTTTTCACTTTGCCTTTGAGAATTTTACATTCTCCGTTCAACATCCCCGTAACTTTTGGTTGCCTAATAGGTTTATCAAGCAACTAAAAGCTACGTTGATGTTGAACCGAGTTGCCATAGCGCCTGCGTCAACATAGGCGCTTTTGATTTTGTGGCAATAGAGTCATCATCTATACATAATTTATATAACTATATAAATGTTGTTTGGTGTACGCTTCGAAATATTTATAATACTATACGATAAGATACTTGGAGGGCGCTACATAACTCTGGAGCCTATACCCAGTTTAAATACGTGCATCATACCATCAGTTATTCGCATCAGCAGGAATAACATTTGAAAGTAGTCGTCTTCCGTAAGTTGCTACCTCTCGCTCCTATGATTATTGACACTAAAAATGAAAAATATACAACTTTTAAAAAAATGAACCGTTTAAAACAAAACAAACTAATACTTCCTACCTTAAGACTAAAAAGCAAAAAATATTTATATTATTTAAAAATGTGCGACTTGTTTTAACTAACCAAATCAAAACTTTACCTACAAACTATAACTTACCTATTCTTAATAATCCATAGACCCCCCTCACTCCGATTTTTATATTCAGATTGAAATAAAACCACTACAGTTAGTTTCAATTTTTAATCTCATTCATATCAAATTATTTTACATAATTTAGATTTTAGTATGCTATTGTGTCTAAGGAATTAGGTTTCCTATAAATTATAAATTAGCGTGGCACCATTAAAGATAAGTTACCGATTGGCTCTGATATAAAATTATCCCAATGATTTTCGCACCTAACTAATCCTACTATGCCGTACGATTCCGAATCGTTACATTACCGAACTTTTCATTAGATAACATTTATCAATTCAGCCAATATTAACATAAAATGATATTTTATTAGTCTTAATTTTACTACTGAATACATCTACATATGTATATTTAAATCTATCTATGTACAGGTAAATAGAGACTAATATTTTATTACAAGCTGCTAATTACAAATTATAGCCATGGAAGTGATTATAACACCACTTCAGAGGCTAATAAGCTAAGCGTTATATTCACCGTTACCTCTATAAATCTTCTTATAAAAAAAACAGGTTTATCACACTTGTACTGTACAAACATGGCAAAGAATAATTATAACCTAGAGATGGACTCGACCAAGAAATATTTTCGTTCAAATTTATTCATTTATAAATTTACCCGAAAATTTGCCTTAATACCACTAGATTCTTTACAAATACAGCTTTAAAATAATATTTAATATACATAATTTTTGGGGAAACGTTAAGAGGGTAATTTTATTCATACTCTCGCATTGATCTGGTCCCTGTTTCCTAATTGGATTACCTTGTTTTACATAATTTAGAATTATGTATATATATTGCTATAACTGAATTTTAAATTAATTGCCTGTCATATACAAGCCTTATTTATGACCAGAAGGCCACTTCTTGTAATAAAAGTTCGGTCGGAATTCAGTTCCGATCAACTCTCGATCTCACCACTGTCATAAAAGGTATTTTAGTAAAGTATTAAACATCCAACGTTGCCCCTGTAATGATTATATCGTATTGTAATTCAAAATTGAATCGGCAATCTGCTAGTCTGAGTAATACTTGACTATTTTACTACGAAAATACGTTTTATGACAGTTGCAAAATCGCGAGTTCATCGGAACCGAATTCCGACCGAACTTTTACTACGAGAATTGGCCTTTTGGATATGGCAAATTTCATTTCAAATTAAAATACTAAATGAAAGCAATTAGTGTATGTCTGGCATATGTTTGACATCAGATAAATTAAAAAAGGAATGTAACTAAAATAAGTTCTAATTTTAAAATTAACGAGAAAAAGCCAATTTTAAATCTAGACGTATATTTATTTTATATACATGTAAGTCTAAAACCATTTGTAAATTCTAATTAAGTTGAAAATGAAGCTGGTAACCACAGGCTAAACCTAACCAAGATAAAACATATTAAAACGGAATTGTTTTCATTTATTCGTACTTAAACACTTGGAGTTATATAAAAACAGTTGAGATATGTCACTGTAAATAGTAATAGATGTCGTTAAGTATTTCAAAATCTATACTAAGTATTTAGCTCAATTAGTAGCTGTGAAATATCACAAACATATTATTTATTTTTACATATATTTTTTACATTGTTCTAGTTCTATTTACAAAAAATATATCCTTTATAATTAAAAAAATGATACTTAACATTAGCAGATGATAAATATTCAACACTACACAATATTCTGTAACGGAAGTCACTTCTATGATATCACTAGTATCTCTGATTACTGTATTACTTCTAAAAGTACGAGTAAAGAAACTGAAATGAAACTGAATTATCGTCGGTTACGGTCCAATATCCATAATTACACTATAAAAACTGGAGAAGTAGTTATCGGAAGAACTTGTAAAATATACCGCAGATCGTTAAAAGAGAGGAAACGAAGACGGGGAACGGGTAATTATCTGTCGCTGCATGCCTCACGCTCGGGAAAACACTGATATTCTTGTGGTTCGTCGAAATCGACGAAAGAGTCCCCGGGGGCGACGCGTCATAGGCAGGCGTGCGGCCCGTCCAGCGGTGGCAGCGACAGGGCCGCGTGCTAGTAGTTCACCGTCACGGGGTGGTGCGCCAGGCCCGCGCCCGGGTGGTGCTGCGCGCTCACGGCGTGGCTGAACGTGGCCGCCGCCACCGCGCCGCTGCCCGCCACCACGCCCGCGCTCGAAGTGCCCACTCGCACTTGCTGAAAATACACAACATTCCTTTCTATCACATACCTAATAACTTCCCTACAAAATACTGGCGACATTGATTTTACGTTACCAATAACGAGGCCATGACGCTAAATTTAGATTTAGATCTCCCATAGATATGAAGTTAGTTTTTTTGGGCATTCATATTTGGATTCATTCAACTCTTATAATAACTAAGCCATGATTTGCGTTAAAACGGAACATGATATATTTTTACCTTTGAATTTACTATCGAGAATACCATCTAAAATACACCATAGCTTTATACAAATAAGGCAATAAATTCACCACCATAATTTGTGATACATACAGAGACCTGAGTTGGATATTTTTTTGTTACCTCAAACGATAAAATAATTGAATCAATTGATTGGTGGATCAGGATGATTGGTGGAAGAAAAATCTATATCAAGTAATCTACTATCACTATCCAAGTATAAAATCAAGTTTCAACATAAAAGCAAAAGTTATTTGTACTTCTAGTTTGTTGGTTTTTACCATCTTCATAAGATTATTTTGTTAAATGTTCTAATTCAAAGATGTCAAATGCAAAACAATTTTTAAATCTTTATACATACTGCCGTAGTCCAATCTCCTTAATCCCTAGTTTTCTAGTTGAAAATTCTGCACTTTTAATGAGAAAGTCACAACTATGTATCTACCTTCTATTTTTTTATTAGAAAACAAATTCCTAATAAAGTAATTTTTACTTTCACAACAGAATTATAGCTTATAATCGATTGAAAACGAGACGTCAGTCGTGTTATTTCTGTTAGTAGCACTAAAATAGCTGCATTAACGATACGTCCAAGCCCTGGCGATTGATATAAAACTTTTAATTCTGACCAGTAGTATCAGAATAGTGCTCACTAAAAATATCAGAAAATATCTAGAGAATTCAAAATTGTTATTTACATTGTGATCAGCACAGCCTTTAGTAGTCCACAGATAGACATAGGCCTCTCCTTAGAAAGGAGGTTTTGGCCTTCTAAACCACGGTGGCTAAACGGGTTGGTATGGGTTTGTTTCAAGTTTTCCTTCTCTTTGCAGTTTTGTGGTCCTGCGAAGTTTGCTCCCTTAGTCAGTTCTTACGACACCCACGGAATGAATAGGGGTGGTGATACTTCGTATTCTTAATCTGTCACCACACGGTTTGTTATTAACACTTAACCCAATCGTTATAGTAGTCTACACACCTGATTTGTTATTTGCATTACTGCACTAGCAGTATTTTGTTGAGTCTGTGCCATATTATTTTCGTCTGGTCTAGTATCCACAGAGGTCCTGTTAAAGTTCAATAAAACAATAAATTAAAAGATACCATTATTGAGTTATTTTTTAAACAATATATTTTTACATATATATTTTTTATGTAAAAGACAACTCCCTACTCCAAGGAACAGCGGAGACTTTTGATAATAAAAACACTGCAAAGAGTACACACTTAAAATAGTTTATAACTTCCAGCTTTGTCATAGCAAAATTATTATTTAAAAGAGAAACACGGTGAATAATGCAAAATTAAGTTTGTTTTTTTAAATGACAGCTCCCTTATTAGGAACATATCCCGTGTCGCGGGGCACTTTACAAACATACATGAAACGGACACAAAGGACACCCACTCAGAACAACAATTTGTAGATCACACAAAGTGTCGTCCCATGTGGGGATCGAACCCACAACACTTAGCGAAGTAGAAAGCAGCGTGGCGACCGCTTAAACCACTACGCCATCCGTGCAGTCAATCAAATTAGAAGTTGTGTATTCTGTAGGTAAAACGGTTTAAGTTAATTAATAATTTTGATGGTTAATTATGTGTGCTGTAGACCAAAGCCAGTAGGTATACATGCTTCAGTATTAGTGCCCCAAACTAGTGTGTACTTTAGGAAATCGAAATTAATAACAACAACCTCTACCCTTTTTTGAACCCAGGAGACACACAATGGTTGTTCTACTTCTTCATGAGAAGTTTTTTATTTTTGTATTTATATAATGCTGTAAATATCCAATAGTACTCCATTTCTAGATACGCTAGGCGTGATTTTATAAGTAAATAGATTTTAAAACCTGTTTTTTATACTGACCTGATTTCGAGTTTTCTGTCAGTATGCTCGGGCTCTGCTTTGATACACTTATTGCAGTCAGTGCAGTCGTCAGGCTCGGGCGCCGCCTCCGCGCTGGGCGGCGCGCCCTCGCCCTGCTCCGTGTGGGTTCGCCTGTGCGTCACCAGATGTCCTATGGTGACAATAACGTGCGCCGTTACTAACACTTTTATTCTACCACAGAAGAATAGATATCGAAAAGCTATTGCTTTGCTGCGCCAAATGAAAAATAATAATTGATTAGTAATACCTTTACACATGAATTCCTTGGAGCAAACTTCACACCGGTATGGTCTGTTAGCGTTATTGGCGTTAGCCTTATTGTGAGAGCGTTCGTGGAATAAAAGGTTCCCTTTCAATGGAAACGATTTACCACATTCTCCACAAGTGTGCGGCCGTTCACCGCAACTGTGCGATCTAGAAACAGAGCAAAGGTTTAATCATAGATTATTATTTTTTAGATTAAATCTATAATGATATAATCTGGGTGGTTAATAATAAATTAATATACAGTTTTGCAGTCTATATACATAAAATGTATACAGACTGCAAAACTGAATTATTAGCTCAAATTAGATTTAAAGGTACACGCCCTGCTGCTATGCACTGCTTAACAAAAATACATTACCAGTTTGAAACTAAACTTGTACTGTATTGTATAACATGTACTGTATAACTTGTATTGTTTAATTTAAGTTTAAACGTTTTCAGCCTGTAGGTAAAAATTTTCTATCAGACACTAAACCATACTGTAATAAGAAATTATTGTTATGCTTTTAAAAAGATAAATAAATACATACCTCATGTGTGCTACAAGATGTTCTTTTCTGGTGAAATGTTTTGAACATACTTTACACGCATGCGCAGTGTCGCCAGTATGTTGTTTTAAGTGGTTAGTTAGATGTTCTTTTCGTGTAAATGTTTTCTGGCAAAACCCACAACGATGTGGTGACTCGCCTGTATGAATTCTGTAACACACAAGTTTGTCCTGAAATTTTATTCGTTAATTAACATTCGTGTCATGAAATTTGGCCTAATGGCAACATATCGTTTCATATTTATATTTTGTTGATGTACCATTTAATTTCTTAATTATTCTAATCAGTCTTTAATTAGATGACAAATGTGAGAATAAAGTCGCACTGTGATCAAACTGTCATTTGATGAACACTGTGAATTTTTATATGTATATCTTAATATGAGAAATGTCAGAGTTGTAATGTTGTACTGAAGTCGGTTTTGGTCGTTAGCCTGAGACAAAAACTCGTGTGGTGGCCTCTGTATTAGTTTAAATTAGTTACCTACAAACCTTTATTCGCTCTACTCTACAAAGATATAGTGGCCGTGCTGTCTCTAGAACGCCTTGCCGGAGGCAGTAATGGGCATTAATGCTAATTAGATTTAATTTAATTTGTTGCGAATTCTTATGTCTTAGCATGTCACTGCTAATGCAGATATTATTTATTAATAATATCTCGGTCACTGTAATTGTTTTTAATAAATAAATAAATATTGTAATTTCGTACGAGGAGAGCAAATGAAAAACGATCGTACTTGTAGGAGGTATATCAGTAAGTACTACTTTTACATAAATAACTTTTTTCATTATATTTTAATTCACCGCGATTTTCGCGATCAAAAGTGGCTGCTATTTTATTTTCATCAGAAATAGTGCAATATAGAGTTTGTTTGCGATACGCTAGCCTTCGTCAATTAGTCACTTTAACACTATCTAGTGACAAAAAATATCCCTATCTATTAACAAAATACCTATTTACAATGCACACGTTACACTTTTCAAACTTAAATTACCTTTACCTACTCTATAATTAAACTTTTTATTAACAAATATTATATTGGTACCAATTCTATGAAAAACTTTAAACAATTTAACAAAACACTACGAGAAAACAAAGTCATTCAAAACAATACCTTATCTCCCGTCTACTTAGTAATGCTAAAAATTCAATGAATCATATTAAAAATATATTTATGCAATAAACAAGCCGTGCGTTTCTTTTAAAATAGACAATAAAATCTTTTGCACTCTTAGAAATAACATCAATCGAGCCGCGCTCGGTCACCGTTCCGAGCGAAATAGGTACTTAAACATGATAGCAGACGGTTCGTTTGTCATTTTAGCATAAGCATTTGTATTAATATTTACGCACGACGATTTTTATTAAATTTAGTCTTTGCGTTAATGCGAATGAGAAAGCACGCGCTGTGTGAATGTGAAGCGTTAACGAATGAAGTGACGAAATTTCGTGTACATATTAATTCATACGGTCACGAAATTTCACGACTACAATTAATTTGCTAATAACTAAATAATAATTCACAATTACATATGGGTGTGAAGACTATCCATCACTAGCCGGAGGCAGGTGTTAACATTAACAAAGTCGCGACACAATGAGGTATATGGATACTTATCGTATATTATGTTGATAGCTTCTTTTTCTTAGACTTCTTAATTATAGAATAGTTACCTGACGTGGTTTGTCAAATGTTCCTTTCTTGAGAAAGTTTTGGTGCAGAAGGGACACTTATGCGGCGTCTCTCCCGTATGAAGATTTATGTGATTCGTCAAATGTTCCTTACGAGAAAACGATTTGGCACAGTATGTGCATTTGAATGGTGTTTCGCCCGTGTGTTGTCTGAGAAGAAACACAACATTGTTAAAGGACTACTATTTACTTTACTACAACTATTTCTAAGTATACAAAATAAAAAGAAATAAATTGCTTATGACTATATGTATTCATACATACATTCCAAAATTCGAGATATAAGGTCTTTTAACTCATTGGGCCAAGCGTTTGTCATTTAAAGAAAAAAATAGCAGAGGTATAGGTATAACCATAGGCATGCACTGTTGATGGCTTCCACAGTACATACCGTATGTGATTGACGAGATGTTCCTTCCGGGTGAAGCTCTTGTTGCAGTAGGAGCAGGAGTGCGGCGTGACGCCAGTGTGCTGGCGGATGTGGTTGTTGAGGTGCTCCTTGCGAGCGAACGCGCGCGGACAGTACGTGCACTTGTGTGGCGTTTCACCCGTGTGCTGTCTGCGCAACAAAGTACATTCCGATTCCATCAACATGCCAATCACTGCTATTACTGTGCGGATCTAATTTTGTCTCAGGGTCACGACCAAAAGGTCAATTTTCGTAATCGACTACAGTACAAACATTACATTTCTCATTTTAGAAAAAAAAAAGATTTTTGTGATTCAAATCTCACTAATATAAATAATACATTTAATTGTTCTTCAGCATACCATGGAATGAAAGATATACTTCTACAAGATATTGAATGTGTGACTTGTATTGAATAAGAAGAATATTAGGATTGAGATCAAGCCTCGTATTATATTTATAAATATTAATATATCCTCCAACCAATTTATTTGCAATGCACCTTATTTAGAATAATCTCTGGTTAGAACCATTGCCGAAAAAAATTAACATTTATTTCAATAAAAATGTAAGGTAATATCGGGCGAAAAAGCGCCTTAAAATAATTTTATTGCACAGTATCGGTTCCGAGGAAAAGGATTAGATATAACCTATGAACTGTTGCAAAACCCAATCGGAATGCACAATGCTGTGCTACATAGTTCAAGGGGGAACCTCACACAAATGCCGTTGGAAACTACTGTTCCGAGTTTGCCGTTTGAAAGACCAAGGTTTGTTATCTGTGCGACTAGGATTCTAATAGACCTTACCTTTTAAAGATGCTATTTGTAAGAAAGACATGCTACTTCATGCAAACTAAGTAGATACATGCTTCTAGAGCCGATTGGGTATTAATCTACGACAGACGACTATGTTATACTGTGACAAAGTCGACAGGGGATTGTAGCACAGCATTGTATTCTACGACACAGCTAATATTTAAACATCAAACTAAGTAAAAAAATCTTTGAGATTGTAATATGGAAATATTAATATTTAATTATACTTCATAAGTTAAAATACCTAGCTAGGAATTTTATGGGTTTCGATTGAAGAGAAGGGCGATTCTTGATTAAAGCAAAAAAGAAGATACACATTTCTATATAACAATCTCAAATTTACATTTACAGCAATAGCAGTCTGCCAATTGCAACAATTACGTTAACTTGTTTCTATTTTATAGATACTCTGGATAGAGTTTACTATAGGTCGTTATTTTATTTAAGGATTATATTATACATAAATAAATCAAAACACACTGAACTGCAAAACGACACCTAGTATTTTTTATAAGGCACTTGACAATTTGCTCTGTATTGTTTAATTATTACAAAATCACTTTTGCACTATACCCTAAGGCGTGCGTCTGCTTTTCAGTGTACTTCTAGCCTAACAGCCGGCAAACTGCGTTTAGCTTTTGGTGATCATTCACTTAGTAAGTGATGATAGCTCACCTGATATGATTGGTAAGATGTTCTTTTCTTGTAAAAGACTTAGCGCAGAAGGTGCAACGATGAGGTGACTCGCCGGTGTGTTGTCGCACGTGGTTCGTAAGATGCTCCTTACGGGTAAACGACTTTGTACAGAACGAACACTTGTGTGGAGATTCCCTGTATGCTGCCGAAACGTGGTTCACTGAGAAGTGAAAACAATTTAGTAAGAATTGGTTTTAAAGATATTGCTTTATACTCATTAAAACTGTCAATTCATTTAATTGAAACCACTGGACCAGATGAAATGAACTTAAGGTACTTACATATATCAGTTTACTAACCAAATTTACTGTAGTAATATACAGAATGCTTATAGTCAATATTCTCATTCATTTTCAATACATTTTCACACAACTAAAGCATTCAAAAATTTGATTTAACAATGTAAACTTGAAATTAGTTCACAAATTACCAAAATCACATTTGATACGTTCTTAAGCAATTGACAAAATAAAAACCAATGGACATAATATAGCTAAAGATTTCCTTAACATGTTTAACAATAATTACCAAGATGATCCTTTCTGGTGAATGCTTTAGGGCAGTATCCACACTGGAAAGGAGTTTCTCCCGTATGCTGCCGAACATGATTAACTAGATGTTCTCGGCCGAGTGAAAGATTTGCTGCAGGAAAGTACATCTGTGTGGTGACTCGCCAGTGTGCTGACGAACGTGGTTTAATAAGTGTTCTATTACGTGTAAATGTTTTCGAGCAAGAAATCGCAGCGATGTGGTGTTTCACCTGCAAGAAAACGTTGCATTAGTTTTGAACACATTACTAGAACGTCAAACAAAAAGAATGATCCTCATTTAATATTCATAGATATTAAATCACTTATTTACATATACCATAGAACATATGAAGAGAAACGAATCATTTACCGAACAATATATATTACTTATATCTTGAGTACTTAAAAGCAAACGTTTCTTATGTCACACGTTTATACAAAGGTGTAACAAAATAATAATCTTTATTTGGAACAAGAAAACAATATATAATTTAAAGATGTTCGATAACAAAGCAAATTAAGGTTTTAAAAATAGGAATAACAAAGCAAATTAAGACGCAACAGATTGTTAGAAAATATTCAATCATCGAACATTCCAAGCCCCACCGATACCAGACACAATCCAAATGAATAAACAAAGTAATTTTTCTATGTTTGTGAATTGGCCATTCTTGTCAGCCACGAATTGATAACTATATACTAACCCGTATGCCACAATATGTGATTGGTGAAGTGTTCCTTTCTTGTGAACGATTTCCCGCACAGTTCGCATCGGAAGGGGGTATCATTTGTATGAGACCTCATATGATTCATTAAATGCTCCTTCCTAGTATACTTCTTGCCGCATATTTGACAATGGTGCGGCGTTTCACCTATTTGGGTGGAGCAGAAAATAAAAATGTTAACATTCAATGATGCAACTATATCTTTCGAAACATTTAGTTTGTCTCTTTGTCATGAAATGAATGACTCTCCCCATGTTCATTACAATGTTAGTAGGCTTAGTAAACTTGTGAAGTTTTGGGGGATTGTATTAGTCAAATTTCAATGTTATATGGTTAAAATGAAGTATTAGATTAATAGTTGAATCATTGAAATATTTTTTTACTTTCTGCACACCTGGAAAGTGCCCATGGTACCGGTGCAGGCTTTGGAATTTCGTATAACATATAAAGAAAATCTATATTACAAACTAAAAATTCCGAAAATAACCACAGTAACATAACCATGATAATCTTAATAAAAATATACCTTTAAAGGAAAGTAAACAATAATATAGCGAAATAGAACAACGTAAAACGATAAATCATGCATTAGTAATAGGTAGTTTGATGAGTCATTCGAAATAAGGATTAGACTATTTGAATGTTTTTTTTTTTATTATATTCAAAAGGATGTAATGAAAAAATATTCAAATAGTCGGACGTTACTTACCTGCTGTCTAGAGTCAAGGTAAGTTCTATTATTCATTCAATTGTATGTTTGTAGTCTTCTCTAAAATACGCTTTTTTTAACCCTCCTAAAAGAATATGAGCAGTGTGTCCCATACATACATGGTGATATTCTTTTATAGGAGGATATTTATTAAACATCATTTTTAACCTTGTGATTAAAAAGGTCACAAATCACTTCCAGGTTAACACAGGAATCGATTGATTTTCTACAATTGACTATAGACTACGCTATTTAAAAAAATATATTTATAGCAACATTCTAAATTTATTTTATTACAAAAGATCTGAAGGGAATCCTGCCATGGATCAATCATATTATAAATACAATAATTAAAACACACCTATTTAAATTGTTAGCCAAAACACACACACACCTATTTAAGTTATTGGCTGTTTTGGTATCAATACAATGTGTATGGTTTACTGATTTCGATATAAGTGTTAATGACAATCTCTTATGTTTAAATCTACAAAATTACCATGCACTCCTATTGCAAAGCACTTAAGTAATCAGGTTTTACTTCACTATAATATCTATTCAAATATATTTCCTTACTGAATGTACAAATTTAAATATTCTAAAGCTACTGATTGATCTGAGTTTGTTACCAGAATATTGTCTAAAATTTAACAAGTAGCTAATGAAAACAAAAATTGACTGAAGGATTCCACTGAATGGTATCTCTCTTAAGTCATTTAAAATGAAAAGAAAGTCTAGAAACTTTTTTAAAATATTTTATATGATTTATGGGATTTTTAAGCACACTACTATATAATACATAGTAACACAAAGCTTATTTTGAGGAACATAGGACCAAACAACTTTGCCTTTCCAATGACAGTTAAAGAAGCCATTAAGAAATAAGAAATGATAGACCACAAATACAGTATAATAAATAATTATTATATAAAATAATTTAAATTCTTTACGCACCTGTATGCCACATGACATGGTTCATGAAGTGTTCTTTTCTTGTAAAGCTCTTCTTACAGATGTCGCAGCGATGGGGCGTTTCTCCCGTGTGTTTACGCACGTGGTTCACCATGTGCTCTTTACGGGTAAAAGTTTTTGCGCAGAACTCGCATCTATCGGAGGATGATATTTGCTTAGACAGAATCTCCAACAGTGACTAACTTTATTTTTATACTAGAGGTCGACCGCAGCTCCGCCCGCTTATATGGACAATATGAATGTAATTGATAGCCTATAGCACTCACGGCTAATGCAGCTACATATTAGTAAAATAATTTTCAGAATCGGTTCAGTAGTTTCAAAGATTACCCCCTACATACAAACAAATGTTACCTTTTTATAATATTAGTATGGATAATCTCGTTTTAATAATAATTAATCTCTTTATTATACACCTTTTTTTTTCCTTTGCGGAAATCCCCTCGGATACCACTTACCGGTGGCAATGTCGGACTCGAACCGACTAAAACCGCACGCTGTCTCAGGTACCAGTAGTCAGGGAACCAGGTGTACCTTAGAAAGGAAATCCCTGGTGCCCCGACGTACCTCGGGCCATCTCCTGTCTTTATTGTACACCTAATTTAATACAAGCAGACGTAAAACGCAACGCAACGACTATTATACGGCGGCCTTATCGCACTGTGGCGGCACAATGCCAGCACTGCGGAGCCGACTGGGACTCCGCCCAGCAAACGCTGAAAGACTGCCCCGCATGGGCATCTAAACGCGAGGTCCTGGTCGACCAAATCGGACGAGACCTGTCCCCGCCAGCAATCATTACTGCCATGCTGGCGGGTGAGGAGGGATGGGGCGCAGTGGTCTCTTTCTGTGAAGCTGTAATGCTTCGGGAGAGGGCCGATCCCGAGCGTAGAGGACGTCGGCGGCGCTATCAGCCGTGCTACGGTAGGTGATAGGATGGCGGCCTGGTAGCAAAAATGCGATCGGGCCGCAACATATTATTAATAAGGATCGGCCGATAGGCGGGGGAAGCCTTCTTTCCCCGGGATAGGGGTTGGCTAAGCGCGGCGTTGATCCGGGGGGACCTGAAATAACATGGTCCGGGTCCTCCTCGGAGTAGGGCGCCTGAGTCCAACCGTCGGGGTGGTTTTTAGTAGAAACACCACATACTACTGGCTCTTCCATCCCCAAGGAGCCAGAGAATCGAAAGGCTTTTCCACCCCGTCAACAAAAAAAAATGAAGGAAATAAATGCTATATGTATACAAGATTGGTATTAGACGAATGAACAGAAAGGAACATGTCCCTTTCTCTGTAATCTCGTTTTCATAGAAACACAAACCATACCATCCGTATACCATTTTTAGCATTAAAAGTACCCATAACGTCGATACAAAAACTTTTTACAACACAATTGTAAAGTTTAATAAAGATTGATGCATAAACCCGTATTTGACGACTTTCCGAAATATAAAATTTACTTAATATGTTTAATCCACTTACAATTACTTTGAAAGATTCTTGTTCTTACAAGATTATTAGTATTTGAGACGTTTGACATTTTTTTCATTTTTCTTGCTACAAATTTACTTGTGTTCAAATTAGAAAATAAAATTATTTTCAGCTAATACGAGAAAAAAAAATTATAAGTCAATTAGTTCTTTAATGAATTCACAGATTATAATAAAAAATGAATTTATCGCATACTTCAAATTCAACAATATTATATATATGTTTACACTAATAGTAGACTAGGAAATACATTCAAAACCTCAAAACTTATATACACGACACATATACCATGGTAACAATTTCTAATATTGAAAACATTACTATTTGTTTGACTAATTTTTCACCGATATGCGAACCTGTTGTTGTGGCAAGCCTTGGGGGAGGCCTATGTCCAGCAGTGGACGTCTTTCGGCTGAGATGGTCATGATGATAACACAGCAGTATTCAACTGCTATGTAGAGTGTAAAGGTAAGAAACACTCACTTGTATGTACGGCAAATCGAAAGTATCCAGTGAAAAAAAATAGTGTATGTAATAAAGATGAGAAATTTACAGTTTAAAACTCTTTCATCGTCTGTTAATAGTTGATAATTGCTGTCGTAGTTACGTTTAAAGTAGAGAATTTCAAAAGACTAAATATTTTTAAGGCCACTCTATCCTACTTTAGTAACTTCTGGAGATCCCTTTCAAATTTATCCTAATGTAGCGCCACCCTATTTTAATGCATTTCGAGAATATTATTCTCCTTAACTCTATACTTCAGAACTTGTTACCGGAAAGAAGATGTTTATTACCTGTAAGGCGTCTCCCCAGTATGACTCCGAACGTGATTGTCTAAGTGTTCCTTTCTCGAAAATGTTTTGTGACAAGTAGTACAGGCATACGGCTTATCTTGTGCCATTCTTTTAGCATGTCTCTCATTAGGATCACCTGCTATAAGTAAGAAGTATTACAGTTATCAGTTAAATTTTATTCTGATTTGATGAAAATCTTTTTCTTAACTTTCAGAATAATATCATTGCTTACCAAGATGGCATTTCCCGTGTCTCGATAACTCTACAGGATTAGCAAAAGCTGAACCGCAAACTTGACACGTAAATGGTTTGCTTTCGCCATGATAGCGCCTGAAAAGATTAATGTACATTTATTAGTACTGTTGCGCCATAGGATTGTTCATATCGCCATAGGATCGCCGCCAGGAGGAAAAGATGCTCTTGTTAAAAGACATTCATGAGATCTTCAGCAAAGAACTCAAGGAAGTGAAGGATCAGGTTCATCAACACGAGAACCGTCTCACTGAAGCCGAAACTCAGATTGCAGACGTGAAGAGGGCGTTAGGGAACCTCAAAGTTGGAGAAGGTACGGCTACAACTGCTGCTCCTTCGGTGCGAGGGTTCAAAGTGCAGCCGTTTGAAAGAACATCTTCGTGGTCAGCCTACAAGATCCAGTTTGAGGCCGTTATGACTGGCTGGATCAGGCTTTAACCGTCCTCGAAGCCCTCGGTAAGAAGGTAACGTATGAGCGACTGCTGGAGGCAAGATATGGTGACGCTCACCTGGAGCACGTGTTTCGTGCGCAACTAAAGGATTGTGCGCAACTAAAGGATCGTGTCCAACGCCTCGGTGAAAACTTGCAACAATGGGACTTGGAAGTTGAGAAACTGGTCGAGAGAAGCCGTGAGACAAGACCATCGGTCTCATCATGTCCGGGAGGTTGTTGCGTCACCTGTGCTGTGCATGTGGGGGTCATCTTCGGTCTAGCTGCCCTAAACGAAGCATAGGAAATGAAGACGAGCCCCTGAGGAGATTAGGGCGGCTAATAGCACTGCTCAGCAGCAGCAGGAAAACGAGTAAACGCCAGGACTGCGGGGCAAGCGCTGGCTGGTATTCAAAGAGCCCCAAGGATTTCGTTCTCGCAAACCCATGATGGGAACAGCCTAGTCATCAGAGGCGAAATCAACGGAACGCCATGTAAGCTGACGATTGATACGGGACCTTCTCGCACAGTTATCAGTATCCAACTTGCAAACCGTTTTGCGAGTGTACAGCTTGAAGAAAGTTGTTCTTCCTCCCAGATCAGAAACAATCGTGCGTCTTCCTCATTACTCTGGACAATTGCATCGATGTGTACTTATTGGAAGGTTAGATAATTACCTTCTATGGAAAATCGCACGAACTCTAGTAAGTACAACCAACATCTCTCCAGTACGTGTCACACTGATTGGCACTTGCGAGGATGTGGATTGGATGCGTCGATGCTAAGACCTGACTACTGTAAATATTGGCAAGGATAGAGGAATCAACGTGTCAACACTGTTGGAAGACTGTCGAGATGTTTTATCTACGGAAGAAGTAGACAAGGCTAAGAGGATGTTAGCTAAGTACGCTGATATTTTCTTTTCTAATGACGCTGATATCGGAAAGACTGGTTTAGTTCAGCACAAAATTATAACAATGCGTTGCCTATTCGTCAGCCACCAAGAAAATTACCGGTAGCACGAGAAAAGGAAGTGAAAACCATGATTGATGGAATGATGAGGTACGTGTTATAGAGCCTTCATCCAGCCCATAGTGTTCACCTGTAGTGCTTGTAAAGAAAAGGATGGCAGCATGCGTTTTTTGTGTTGACTACCGTTGTTTGAACGACATTACGAAGAAGGACAGCTACCCAAGAATAGATGACACACTGGACATGCTGACAACAGGGTAAAGTAGTTTAGCACCTTAGATTTGAAAAATGGATACTGGCAGGTAGAAATTGATCAGGAAGGATCGGAAGAGGGTGTCAAAAGAGATACGCAAAAGATCGCCGCCGTCAAAGATTAGCCAGTTCCAAGAGATAAGACCCAAGTAAAAGAATTTTTTGTTTGTGCTCTTACTATCGGCGATTCATGAAAAGCTTTGTGAATTTTGCGAAACTCCTTCATAAACTTACTGAAAAGAAGAGACATTTCTGCTGGGATGAAAGTTGTGACGTTGTATTTCAAGAACCTAAGACGTCTATGCAACACTTATTTTGGGGTATTCAGATGCCTAAAATGAATTCATAGTGGACACAGATGCGAGTGATACTGGGCTTGGCGGTTTGTTACCGCAGCGGAAAGGTGATCAAGAAGTTGTTATTGCATACTACAGTAAATCTTTGTCTAAATCGGAAAAGAATTACTGCGTCCTGAGAAGAGAGTTACTGGCCGTAGTGAAGACACTGCAACATTTCAACAAATATTTGCTTGGGCGTAAATTCTATCGCCGAACTGACCACGCGGCACTAAAGTGGCTGCTGCAATTAAAAAATTCTGATGGACAAGTCGCGAGATGGATTAAGCTACTACAGGAATATGACTTCGTGATTGAACATCGCAGTAGAAAATCTCATGGTAACGCAGATGCATTATCACGAAGACTGCAAGCTCTATGCCAAGCAAGAAGTAAAGGAAGCTGTACCTGTAAGGTAAGGTACCTTAAAGATATACCTTAACAATGAATGGAAGGAAAGCCTACAACAAGCAAAGCAGGAGGATGCTGACACAAAGCCAATTTTCGAGTGGATTAAGCTGAGACTCCTAAACATAACTGGAGCGATGTTGCGTCGATGAGTTCGACCACGCAGAGTTATTGGGCTCAATGGGATAGATTGGTCAGTCATTGAATAGAGTTAAGAGGACCTTGTAAAAGATAAAACAGATTGTAATGGATTCACTGTCTTGATGATATTGTGGACTGGTGTCGCAATTCGCATTGAAGTAGCAGGGGTGCATTGAAATTGTACAAAGTGTACGGGACCGTTTCCTGACAGTGAAAGCGGGAACAAGTACTTCATAGTTGTAATGGATTCTTTCACCAAGTGGCCAGAAGCCTTCGTTCGCCATTCCCAACCAAGAGGCTTCAACAGTTGCAGATAAATTAGTGCACGAAGTCTTTTGGAGTGTCTTAAGGAATTCCAAATGAAAAAGGCAGAAATTTTGAGTCTCAAATATTTCATGAGATGTGTCGAGAAATGGGTGCTCACAAAACCAGAACCACCTCATACCACCCACAATCGGACGGAATGGTGGAACGATTTAACAAAACACTGGAGAAGTATCTGGTAAAAGTTGTGGCAAGTAGGCACAGAGATTGGGACAAACACATCCAACCGTTTCTTTTGTCATACCGAAGTGCAGTCCACGAAAGTAATTCAGTAACACCAGCTTTCGCAAACTTCGGAAGAGAACTACAATTGAACAGCAGTACAGTCACTAGAATAAACCCTGACAACCCGCGCAGTAAATAGGAGTACGCGAATGACTTGCGCAACACAATGAATGAGCTTTATGAGCATGTCAGATAAACAGGCCAACAAATGTCTTGAGAAGATGAAAACCCGTTTTGACCGGAGAGTGAATAAGGGCTTCAAAAAAAGTTCACTAGTGTGGCTACATATCCAGTTCGCAGTAAAGGGAGACCTCCGAAGCTACAAGCCAAATGGGATAGACCATACCGAGTGGTGCCGAAAATCAATGATGTCACTTACCGGATACAGAAGTTTCCAAAAGGCACCCAAAAGATAGTTCATGTGGATCGATTGGCGCGATAATTATGGGACCGGCAGTGTTGCGCCATAGGATTGTTCGAGAATTGTATGGAATGTGGAGGACAGCGCCAGCTAGTATCACGTTAAGTACAACTATTGAGATTGTTATTAATAATTCTGATAATTGCAGCGCTAGATGGCGCAAGTAACGGATAACTGATACTAGAACATTAATATTTGTCTAGATTGGACTATCGAATACTAGGGATCATGCTAGTAATTTCGATAGCACTATAAAAGCGGAGCGCGTTAGCAGTAAGAGACAGTTTCGTTTTACTACCCAGCGAATTAACATCGAATTGAATGTCTAGTGCGACTAACGAGTTATATCACTATATTTCTTGTTTGTTATAGTGAGTGTTTGTAAGTACAGTGCAGTAAAAGTAATTAAGCGACAACTTTTATTTAATATATACCCCAATCGTAACAGTACATTGCAGTTTCAATATTACCATATTGTCCCCGTCCGAGTTTTATGGTATCCCTTACGCCCCCTCAGTACTATCCGCTTTTCTTTATCTTTATCCTTTGTATTACGTGGCGTCAGGTATGTGGTTTTTTATAATAACGATGCAAAAACATTATGCCGACACCTAATAACATTGTTCAAAGTTCTAAAAAAAAATGATTATGAAGACATTGTTTCATATGTTTTATCCCTTCTGACAGCTTTTTTGTTGAGTAACATCTTTCTTCTCTGTTTCTTGCAATCAGTTTGAGCGATTTCGTGAAAAGGGACAGAAGCATGTAACAGAATGCTGGAGACCAATGAGCGCATGCTGTGCTAGTTTAGAGTTGGTAATTATCAATGGAAGATGTCAGATGTTACAATCATATTTTATGACTTCCGTAAGTTTAATGCGATTTTTTATTTATTTAAAAGCAAAAAAAAATAAGTTCATCGTCATCAGCCTATCGCCGTCCACTGCTGAACGAAGGCCTTTCTCAAGGAGCGCCAACTATGCCGGTCTTAACATAGAACAAACAATTGATTGTTGACATAGAAGTTACTGACTTCACATTTCTACACTAAATCAGTAAACTAATTTTATGCGCTCTTTTTTATCCAATTAAATTTGATTTAAAGTAATATCAAATGAATTTGTGCTTATTTAATAATTACCTATGAACAATGAGTTGATATCGAAATTGGAATATTTTTCCGCAAATATCACAAGAATGATGGCCGGGCGATGACTCTGCTTCTGACATCGCAGCGCTCGTACCTGCCTCTACTTCAACTTCGGTTATAACCTAAAAAGTAATATATATTTTTGCTTAAAACATAAAATGTTAAAGGATAGAAAATTTACTTTCTGCGGGTTAAAGCTAATAGGTAAGGTTCAAACCCAAACTAATTTGATACTACATTGCTGATACATGACAGCTATGTTAGTTAATCAGTCTTTTAGAAGCCGTGCGTCAAAGTGCACCAATAATAACATTGTTAATAATTTCAAATAGTTAAACTTTGTTAAACTTAAGGTTGCTTCTACACGATGCAAGTAGTTTGTAGTAGAGGCACTTGCGTAGGTTATTTGCGTAGGGTAGGGTAGGAAAAGGACTATGCGGGTCAAGCGACTCGAGCATGTACCAACACGAGTCACCTGCGCATGTAACTCGCACGCTCTGCGATACGCACGGGCCACTCTTGCTCAGGTATAGACATGTGCGACTGTTTGACTGACAGAAACCGTTTTAACGCAGAAGTTTTGCGCAGGTTTTTTTTTTCAAGAAAAAGACCCGCATAGGGTCCAGCGACCCGAGCATGTAACTCGCGCGACCAGCATGCACATTATATCAACCAAACTTATTAGTAACTCGTGCATGCTACTGACGCAAATAACCCGCGTCTTTACCCGCTCCAGCTACTTGCACCGTGTAGAAGTACCCTAATGCTATGATAAAAAAAGAGACGCTCAAAAGAATTTTAAAGTTAGTAATTCACAACTAAGGTTAAGATGTTATAAGTCAGTAGCTGTTTGAAAAAGAAAATCATCTTTTTTATAATACTTAAGGTTCAGAATAGTATTATGCGAGTCATTATCATGAAATATGTAGGTCATTGAAGTTTTAATATCATAGAATGATACTGTTTTCTCTATGTTGGCATTAAAATGTAGTAATACGTATCTTACGTACATTATATCTTGAGTTTTATATTGATCTAGTAAACATTTATGATAATTTGCACGCATGGTAGTGGTTTAAGAGGTTGGCGACCTCTTAAACCACTACTCCATGCGTGCCGCTCACTACTACGGAGTGTTGTGGTTCCGATCCCCACATGGGACGACACTTTGTGTGATCCACAAATTGTTGTTCTAGGTGATCTTTGTGTCCGTTATATATTCCTAATGCGGCAGTTGCCTTTTTAAAAAGGAATAAAAGAAAATTTACCTTAGCTTGCTGTTGTCCATCAGAATTTAACTTGCCAAAGACTTCATGGTAAGCTAGTAATTGTGAGAGATCTTCCACATTCACTTTGTACATAGCATGAAGATCATGTTCTGATGCACCGGCTGAGATCTTGACAACTGCACCTTCCATTCCCATAGACCCCACATTCTATTATAACAAAAAAAAAACATTTGAATACCTCAGTTTCTTAACGATTTTTCTATTGTTTTCTTGTAATTTAATTGTTCATTGCGTCATGCATGTTTTAATTAATAATTTAAGTATTTTGTTACAGACGCTGCGCTGGTACGATTTGAATGTATTTTGTGTGTAGATGAATGTATATGTGTATGGTTTAGTTACAATTGAAACCAGCAGGTGGCGCTGCAATGAGGTTCAATTAAATTATTTTGGTTCAGTTTTGTTACAATTTTTTTTTAAATAGTACAAGTAGCACTCAAATCTAACGTGAGATATTGGTGCCTGAGAAGATTTAGTAAAATGATCTGATGTTTGGTTAGTTATGTGTCTTAGTATGTTTATCATTAGTATAAGAGGCCAATTCTCGTAAGAAAAATGTAGTCAAAATTCAGTGCCAATCTACTCTCGATCTTGCAAATCACAAATCTCATAAACGGTATTTTCGTAGTAATATAGTTTTACTAAGACTAGCAGATTACCGATTCAACTTTCGGTCACAATACGATGTAATCACATGCACAGTCAACGTTCGATGTTTAAAATACTTGACTACGAAAATACTTTATATGACATTTGTCCTGGGCCTTCCCGCTCCAGAATTAAATGTCTACACTCTACAAGTTTAAACTAATTAATGAGAAGGTTATATGATGCTTATTTCATTTGATGACTTTTGAGATAAATTATCAAATGTGTGCGTGCTCAAGTGTGCTTAATAGTGTGTTCGGAGTCACGATAGGACCAGATTCTAGCAATTTTCATTGTCATAAACTGTTACTTTTATAACTTTTATTATTGTCGAAATCAATTATTTTTTATGATTTTTTTTGTTTTTATCCAAAAATCTATATGGTTCGCTAATAATAAAAATGAATAACACAATGTAAAAACGCCATATTGTAGTTTTACCTTTAAATCTATGCCTTTGATATCCTTAATTTCCGTCGGTATCGCAAACTGTGCTGTTTCCATCTTTGAAGAGTTCTTTTCATCCTTGACGATGAGAGACTCCGCTTCTATTGACGTCGTACCATCAGGGTTGTGTGTCACTAGTATGTTAGCTGGCTCACCAGTAGCTTGCTCTATGCGAACTACGCTGTCTATCACCTGGTTCGAAATATGTGACTAGTTTAGTCACGAATATAAATTAATTAAGTGCAGTTAAAAATTGTCTCTCCCGTTAGAAAGACTACCGACGTTAATATGTGTTATGAGTTCAAGTTGGTTTTACAGAAATGGATCAAAGAAAAAATAATAATTTAAATAACTAGCCAAAAATTATAAATTGAAATAGTCATTCAGTAAGGTCAGTCAAGACAGGGTAGTCTGTTTACAAATGTTAGTAATGTTAACAAATGGACTATAATAAGCTTTCTATAATGGTACGAATTTCAACACTACAAAAGAAATACAATACAAAAATGTGTACCTGTTGTCCAACTATTTGCTGTAGCTGATGTACAGTGAGCCCATGATCGCCAGGCATCTTAATGGCCTCGTGAAGTTCTTCCTTGTCCACCAGCTTACTGCCAGCCGGTTCCACTACAGTTACAATACCATCTTCGCTTACTGTCAGTTGTATCTAAGAGAGCACATTGAAAGGATCCATTACAATTATATCATTTAAGTAACAATTCGACACAATTATACTTTTATGGCCGAAACTAATGTGCAATGAATGCAAGGTATTTTAAATAATTATGAAACCATTGGCACTTTATATTGTATGTTCCTTTGATAGTTACAGCTTTTAAAGTACTTTTCCCGCTCATTTCTGTGGCATAGGTTTTTAACCTAAATCAAACACCAACTTGTATGTATGAAGGAAACTTTATAGGAGTTGTTGCTTCACTTTATATAAATTAGAAGATTGTTACTGAAATGCTGTACTTTTTGTGAAGAGAAATAAATAAATATATTATCATATCATAATATCAATAAATATACAATCTTGAATAATAGTGAGTTAAAAAGAATAATGATTATTCTTTTTAACTCACTATTATTAGAATTAGAATTGGGCAGACGACGACCCAGGATGAGCTGGTTGTAATGTACTGGTTTAATATAGAGGATGTCCAATGGAACTATCGCGCTCGGTACTCAGACTATACTTGAATCGCGTTTTCGAACGAGTATATATAAACTTTAAATGATTGGCCATTGGATAACACATTAAATAAGACTAAATTATTTGTATAATATATGCATGTCATAGACATCGAAAATATGAGCTTTAACTCGCAAGGTTTAATTGTTAAAAAAGTTATGTTTAAGAAATCATGTTTTTAAATATTATTATTTGAGTTCACAAAATATATTTTTTAAATTTTTTTATTTGAGTTAAGAGTTTAGATTGGCCTGTTGGTCTAGTGGTTAGTGACCCTGACTGCTACGCCAAAGGTTGTGGGTTCGATTCAAACCCAGGACAAATAATTGTGTGATGATGTTCTGAGTCCGGGTGTACTTTATCTATTATATGTATGTATTCAGAAATATATAAGTATGTTTACCAACAGTCTGGTTACCATAGTATAGGCTCTGTCTAGTTTGGGATCAGACGGCCGTGTGTGAGATGTGTAAATATATTATTTTTATTTATTATTAGTTTTATGTGATGACATGCTTATAATCAATTTTGTTTTTGCATAGGAGCTGGCATTAGCATTGATCGAGGATCTCTTAAATACACCATTCTATCAAATTTAGACCAGGACCTGACCCAGAGTAATAATAATAAAGAACTGAAATTATATCTAACTAAGGTTAGATATAATTGGCTTGGTGTCCTCGGCGCCTCTGACACTAAAATCTTGAGCAATCGCAACGCCGAACGCGCTCGCCGTAGATAACGAGTTGATGTGAAATCTCAACTAGGCCTTCTGACATAAGATATTACCAAAACAACCACATCAAAGTTGATAATTCAAAAATAATCTATGGCCCATTGGCGTTAAGGAAATAGTGACGCATCGATCAAGCTCCGCACCCTGACTAATATCAGGTTCCAAACTTTCGTATGAAACGGATAAATGATGACAATTTCCGGAACCTGATTGGTCAAGGGACAGGGCTTGAGCGATGCGTCACTATTTCCTTAAGGCCAATGGGCCATAGATTATTTTTGAATTATCAACTTTGAATGGAATGGACTATAAATGTGTACTGATTAATAACATGGTTCAAGCACACTGCTATGGTACAGTCGCGTTCTTTAATATCTGACCATGTTCATGAATCAAAAATATATAGGCAATGGTATGTTTTATAAAATTCTAAATAGCTTTGCTTACAATAAATTAGCAACACTCCGTGACATCATAAGTATGTACATAATATCAATAATATCGCAACGACCTCTAAATATTGTGCGCAATCCCTTGTTCATATTTTTTCAGTGCAAAGCGAGGTTCATAAAATATCTGTGCAAATTTTCTATATGTCTCGAATTTTTTTTCTTAAATTCTTTGATAAAAATTGTAATAATCTCCTTACAAAAGTAAATCGACAGGCCGGTCTCAGCGCTTTCGCTCTGGAGAGGACCCGGACCATGTTATTTTAGTTCCCACCCGGATCGATGTGGCGCCTAGCCGGGGAAAGAAGGCTTCCGTCTATCTGCGATCGGGCCGCCATCCTTTCGCCTACCGCAGCAATCAATCTGCCGTCAGAGGTCCCCACTCTATGGTAGCCTGCGGCCCCGTCGACGGCTAATACCGCCGCCGACTTCCTCTACGCTCGGGATCGGCCCTCTCCCAATCCCGTTCAGCGGTCTCTTTCTGGAGCATTACAGCTTCACAGAAAGAGACCTCTGCGCCCCAGCCCAAATAATTCAGTTCATATTTAGCTTTTTAGTGTTTTTAGATAGGGAGTTTTGTTTGATGTTTTGTTTTTTTTTAATCAGTTCAATTATTATTTTTTTAATTGTTTATTTTTCCATTTTTAGTGTTAATAATCACACAAAACAAAATTTTTATTTACTTATATAAATTATACGACGACTCAAAAGATATTGCCACAAAATCAAAAGCACCTGTGTCAATGGATGTTAAACAGGCGCTATAGCAACTAACTCTGTTCAACATCCCCGTAGAATTTAGTGGCCTGATAAACCTATCAGACAACTAAAAAAAAGCTACAGGTATGTTATAAATACTTATAGTCTGCGTTGACCCTAAGATTTACTAAAATCTAATTAATCAAATAATACAGATATGCTAAGCAAAGTTGTCAAAGTGATACATACAGTCCTTTTACGAATGGCAACGTCGCATTATTACTTCCACACCGTCAAGCAAAAATAAATCTAATAGTAAAGGCCATATACCTGAATATTAACAGATCTATAGATATTTATGAATCCTTGGTTGTACTAAATATATTAAAATCTAGAGCATTTAGATACTAAACTCGACTGTACATAAATAAAATTGAATCTTACCTCACTGACCTGTTGTATGGTGATAATATAAGGCAGCGTGAAGTACAGGAATATTTAGTATACATGTGCATTATGTACAAGGAACTTAGAATACAAGTTCGGATCGCTGCCTATCTTGGGACAATTTTAAATGTAGTGTAAAATGAGCCTGCCAATTACACAATAATCAAAAAGTGCCGATAATTTGAACGTGAGTACTTCCTTTCTCTAAAGATATAGAGCGCGATCAAGCGAGCTACTATTTTCTAGTTGTGGAATTTGGTATGAGTGGTCTATGATGTGTTCAGTCTTTTTTTGAAATGTATTTATTTTCTTTTTGCAAGCTATATGCTCATGCCCCTTTTTTACAATTAGCGGCTAGGACACGCTAAATGTACTACTCCACTCTACACTTACACTCTTTTCACTTTCAAGTAAATTAAGGATTTTTGACTGAATAAAGCAATTCATTAAGTACTAGTTTACTCACTCAGTACTGGGCACTTTGACATCAATGTCAAAATGTGTTAAATAGATCGAGTTCATTACAACAGCTGCTATCTTTTAAAAGTATGTAAGCTATGTTAAACTTTTATAAGCAACTTTAATAGGAAAAGATTGTGACCCACCTGCTGATTGCTATGCTCTGGACGTGCTGTAGTCATGAGTTGTTGTTGCATAAGGTGTTGTTGTGAATGATGTCCCTAGAGAAATGTTTAATGTTAGTTATACATTTAAGTATGTTTAATAGTAGGCCAAAACCTCCTTTCTAAGGAGAGGCTTATGTCCAGCAGTGGACTATTAAAGGCTGTTGATGTTTCATATTTTGTCAGACATCTTTTTAAAAATAGCCCTCTCTATGTGTGTCTTAATATTCAAATAACAGTCCTTATACATGGCAAACTTGTAGTAATTATATGTATATGCACAGCTAATTAACGTAAATTACTACAATCATACAGAAAGTAAAATTTTGCAAATACTTAAGAACATACAATTGACTATTGACATGCACATCACAACCAAATCTACAGTTGATTTCGAAAAATACATGCAGTCACATTAATAAAGTTACGATTTTTATTATTAAATCTTAGCCTCTCAGTTTATTAAATCCGTAGGCAAAAGAAAGAAAAAAAAAAAAAAAGAATACTAGTAGACTCAAATTTAAAATGACTACTATCTATACTGTTTTGTTCCAAGAGATATAATAATAATATACCTCACACATCACACATCCCAAACACGGCTGTCTGAGCACAAACTAGACAGAGCCTGTGCTATGGTAACCAGACTGCTGATAAATATACCCTTTTTTTTCTATACATATACATATATTTTACATAAATTACAACAAGACACAGAAGAAATGAGCATGCTCATCACATAATATTTGTCATGGGTGGGAAATCGACACCCATGACCATGCTCAGAAGTCATGACCTTTGTACTTTGTACTTATCACTTATCAGTCACTTACAGTCTCTTAACACTTATCAGTCTCTTTCAGCATAACGTTCATTTTAACTTAACAATAATAAAAAAAATCTAAGAAACAGCAGCAACAACAGCTATGTATGGTTAGCATTCCTGGTAGAAAACAGTTGTGTTTACCACATGATTTACCATATCAATGTTATGGTGTTGTACAAACTCGACCCGATTAGTGGGGTACCTGCTGATGGGTAAGGCTGGCCTGTGCTAACTGACACCTGTGCGTTGTTGGGCTCCCTGAGCAGCTGCCAGTTCTGCTTTTTTGACTGTGAGCCACAAGAGTTTCTGGAAATAATGGCAATTTTGTAAAATATATTTATTGTACTAATATATATATAATATATTATATAAAAAATAGGTGTAAGTTTTCCATGGAAATAATCATTGGAATAATAGACTGCTTTTAAAATTTTTTTTTTTATATTAGTTAACATTAATCATTCATTTTACATTCAAGAAATGTTTTAACATACCATGTGTTTGACCGGACTGAGTAGCAATGATCTGTGGAAACTGGTATTTGCGACCTCCTGCGCTGACATGTGACTTGAGATTGGCCAGCATGGTGGCCAAGTATAATATTTGGATCTCCATTAAGTATGCTCGCATGAGCTTGACCGAGATCCTGGAATCATTAATGTATTATTAATTTTACCTTCATTAAAAACGAAATTAAATATTTGAGACTAGAAATAACTACAAAACATTGTCATGTAGTATTTAGTACTGAATTTACTATAGGATATTATTTGTGGTCTGGTTGGTGAGAATTATGTATGTATAAATAAATCAACGGTGTGAACAACCAAAAAGTATAGAGCCCTTTCTCGAGAAGCATTAAGAGAATAAAAAATAAGTTTCCTAAGAAATTTAAAACAGTATATCAGTGTAACTTATTGATAAAACTTATGTTACAAAAACAGTCAAGACAAATTTATTTTTTGTTAATAACAAAAAATAAATTTGTCTTGACTAATGACTTGCCAACTGGACTTTGACATTCGTATTAAAATAACAATAAACAGTCAGTTTACAGAACATAATAAACTTGTTTTTAACAAGATTTTCGATTCTTTCCAATTGAACCCCCCAGCTCTGAGGCGATCTCTTTCAGGCCGACTAATGCAAACACGTTATTGAAGAGGTCCAAGTGTAATAGTGTGTTATTGGACATCCTAAGGGGTCTACGCTGGGGGTCCAAGAGGAAAGATCCAGATTTATTGTGAAGGCCATGTTTTGAATAACTTTGTTGGGACATTAAATGAAATATGGGGCCACATGAAGCAGTGATTTCTTTGCCTTAAAATAATAATAAAAGGTGTTATAATTGATATTTTTTATATTATAACAAGTTATTCCTAATTTGAAAACAACACCACCATGAAAGAAGTTGCAAACACAAAACCTATGTATTTATTGATTTCAATTAATTTTCATTCGTAAAATCACATCCATCAAAAGCATTTTCCACAAGTTCCCAAAGCTGCTTTAAAGATATCAGATGCAGTGAAAAAAAAACAATAGAATTATTATGTTTTTCAAATCCCTGTCGACTTGACCACTTTCAACATTATTAATAAATTGTTTTATTTCATGTTATACATCATTAGTCAGCCATGATGTTGTTAACAAAACTAAACAAAAGAGTGCTATAGACAACAATAATTTTATTAAATAATACAAATAGGAAACTGAAATATTGTTTGAAGTAACTTTCTTATCTTTAGACTAGACTATCTTAATATACACAGATGACTACAATTGTTATCAGAAACAACTTACTTTATAAATATATTTCATACTTTCTAAATAAATTACAAAATATGAAATTACAAGACACATAAGGCAGATTTCATAGTTAGTTTTTAGTTAGGTAATTTTTACTTAACTGTCTTACTATGTAACATTTGACTTGCATTGATTTATAAACATGTATTTCAAATAATAATGACTCATAATTATTTATAGATATGTTATGCAGTTGTTAAATTTGCAAAACCATTAACACTTTAATTAAAAGAACTTTAACAATTACTTAATCATAGTAGTTATTTAAAATACTCTCATATTCAACAAAGAAATCACTTAATCTTAACAATTTTGATTTTTCATATAGTGCAAACTATTTGTTTGATGTCTTACAGAAAAATAATACATATTGTTCAAATTCAGGATATCTTTATTAAGTAATTGTTAAAGTTTTTCAAACTAAAGGGATCATGGCTTTTTAAATTTAACAACTGAATTACAGATCTATATAATAATTATAAAGCATTTTCATTTGACATTTCGAAGTCCTTTTTAAATATCTCAGACTGCATCATTCTAGTGGTTTTATTTTTAAGAAATATATTTATATAAATAAACATACAAAAATGAAATATTTATTCTATGATTAACAAAATATAAAAAATAGGGTGAACATTTAAATCTAAAAATAATGGCAAGTACACAAAATTATTTTACCTGCACAGGTTTCCATTTCAATTTCTGGCACCAGCAGGTAATCCATACACTGAAACTTGTGGTATAGGTCCAGGAAATAAATTTGTAAACACCCAATATTTTGCTACACTGGACAAAGCGACATTCACAGCCGAGTTCACAGAGTTCACTCGCAGATCAGTAGCAGATGTCGTGGCAGGCAAGTTATTTTGCTGTTGTTGCTGAGCAGATTGAACTCTTTGATTCTGAGACTGCAATAAAACAAAATTAGTATCCCAACAAGAAACTGAAAGCAAAAAACTAACAAATCGTTCGCACCTCAGAACTTCCGGTGGCTGGCCACCACCCGTGGTCATACTATGGTGCTCGGGATTCATATTTAGGTCCTTTAATACCGTCAACTATCAACTTCCACTAAATTATTTACAATACAAAACATTTTCTAACTTTTCGTATCGGCATTGTCATAATTTGACTGTCATCAAAATGGAGGCGCGGGGGACGCGACGGGCCGCCATTATGAAACTTAGCACACAAAAACATTTTTCTTCAAGTAACAGTCAAGCGACTATGTTATTATGATCATCACTCGCGTATATTATTATACTGAAAAGGTGAATAAAATTTGTTAAATCAAACAAAATCTACTTATTAGCAATGTAGATTCAAGTTTTCCATAAAACACACACTTCCTATCTCACACATCAACGAACGAACGAAAGTTTTGTCACGGTCGCAGTGATGCCAACATGCAAGTGAAGTAATTAGTGAGTACGCAAATAAAGATTTGAAGATATATAATTGCTACACTTCCAGATTTCAGAAATTGTTTTTACATAATCAATAAATATTTTCTAGTCAAAAACCCCAAAAGTATACTTTGAACAAGAAATTATATCTCAAAGGCTTATCAATGAAATATTTTACAATAGATGGCGCTACAAGTTCCACAAAAAGACAAAGATACACACAATACTGACAACATTCAGAACTGCAAAAAATACGTTCAGGAAAGTTGTCATCTGAATCTTTAATGACGTTCCGAGAAACAATTTTCTTGTAAAAGATATAGAAACAGTTTTTTGAAATAATTCATTTTGCTTAATAATTTACTGCTTTTTAACCTCGGACGCAAAAACGCTAGGTGAAAGGAAGGTGTTATAAATTTAACAGATTGTTATCTGTGCCTGTGAATTATAGCTCCTGAACAGACAAAATATTAGAATTTTCTTTTTGATGTAAAACACCAGAAGGCCAATTGTCGTAATGAAAATGAAGTCAAAATTCAGTTCCGTCAGTTCCGACCTACTTCAGATCTACTTTCGACCGAATTTTTATTACGAAAAAGTGGCATTTGATGCGGAAGGTCAGACCGGCTGTTGACGTGGCGACGCGTCGTCACGGCATGCGTCTGACTATCAAAGTGATTTTATACTCATTATTTCTATGTCTGTCTCTGTACATCAAATTTCGATGTTTCACATCTGCCAGACTCAACTTTTTTCTATTGAAAGTTGCCAAAAAAGTCAGTCCATATTTTTGAGTAAGGTTAAAGTATGTACGTATTTATTTCATGTCAGAGAAGGGTATTAACTTGTACTTTTAAATTATCACTAATTTGCTAAGTTTTATGCCTTTCTTAAATTATTTTAGGTTAACCTAGAAAAAGAAGTCTTGAATACTAAACTTCACACAAGGCCATCTAATCCCAAATTACATACTTAAAAAATTATACGACTACATAGAACCAACAAATGATCGTGATTATCACACAATAAGTTATCCTAGTAATTAAACCCACAACCCCTAGTTTAGCAGTCACGATCTCTAACCACTAGAAAACAGTTCTGTATCAATGTCCTACTTTTTTTTTTTCGTGCGGAAATCCCGTCGGATACCACCTATCGTGGCATGCTCGGACTCGAACGACTTGCGGGGAACCCCTAGAAAGGAAGTCCAAGGTGCCCCGACATTACCTCGGGCCAGTCTACAAAAAAATCAGGGTGAAACGAAACCGCCCCCCCCAAAGGGCAAAGCGCGCTTTCCGCAACGCGCTCGCCCCCCACCCCGGCCGCTTTTTCAAAGGGTGGGGGGGAGGGGCCTCCCCTTTTAAACCCCCGGCCTGGGGGGCTTAGGGAAGGAAAACGGGGCCCTTTTTTTGCACCCCCCGGGGCGCCTGAGCCCGCCTGGGGTCCCTTGGCCCGTTCCCGGGGTTTTGGCTTGCCGGGAGGTTCAAAACCTCACCCTTTCCCCCCTCCCCCGCTCCTTCCCCGGCATAACTTGCTCGCAGAAGGAGACAGCAGAGTTCCACGCACTCTTACTCCGCACAATAGACCGCAATCAGGCTATCGAGCTAGAGAACTCCCACTCCGATGGCCGCCACGAGGTCTCGCCTCTGCTCAAACCCACGCCGGCATTCTGCAGCGTGTGGAGAGGCCGTGTCCACGGTCTGGGCCATCGCAGGGTGGCACTCAGGCTGTCAATGTCCTACTATGATATCAGCTATCACAAGTGGTCAAATTTATAAATTGTATATGAAGGTAGGAGGGCCATGATTCGGCCCAAAGGGTTTTGACCGCAGTGATACCACGGCCTTACAGAAGACCAGTGGTTATTGTCGTTGCATTTTCAAGTGTGTGAGGTTACCGGGAGCCCAAACCTCACAGCTCCCCCCTCCCCCTGATACTGGGGGACTTCAAGGGCGACAACGTACTCTGTGGACTCATGTATTGCAAGTAGGTATCCATAGTTTGCGCTAGTCAGTGATCAGTGACGATACGTGACTAGACTAGATAATAAGTGATTAATCAGGTAGCCTGCCAAATGCTCGTATGCCTCTCTATACCAAAAAAATAATTGAGTTAATGTTTATTTAGAGGAGCTATAACTGTGAAGGCTTAATGCTCAACATTATTTGGCCCCGCAGTTGTACAGCTCATAGGAAGCTGAAGAGCAGCCAACCATTACTGACGAATATTGATGTTTAATGAAAACTGACATGTTGCATTATTTTGGCCCCATATCATTTTTATTATTCTGATAACGAAAATAATTTATTTGAAGCTTAAGATCATCATCATCATCATCATCATCATCATCATCAACAGCCTTTAACAGTCCACTGCTGGACATAGGCCTCTCCTTAGAAAGGAGGTTTAAGATCAAGACGAGAGAAAGATAATCTCGTTTTGTTATGCTCTTTTGTTGTTTTTCATCGTGCGAGAGTATTGAAGACAAAACCTAATTCTAAGAGGCACTCAAAAGGCGGCACCTTCCTTGTGTCACTTGAGTGGCAGGTGTCCATGGGAAGCGGTAGTCACTTATTATCAGGTGACGCATCTGCTCATTTTTCCCACTATGCCACAAAAAAACTTTTTTATAGTATAGGGTGGTGACAACCACGGTGTTGTGCACCCACAGTGTTGGTGACAGTCAAGATTTTGGACGACATATTATACTTTTTCATATTATTATTGTAAGTATTGATTAAAATCAACATCTATTTTAAAATGAATCATCATCGGTTTTCGGGGAGTGATTTCCCTTATCTATGATTTCCTTTGCCTTTTTGAACTTTCACCATTTTTTTTGATGAGCTGGCTGTTGCGTGGTTGCGTCATTGCCCTCCAAACCCCTTTGGGCATTTCCCAAAAAAGGCCCGAAGAAAGTTAATGTCATAAAAAGGGACTCAGGAGCAAAACCCCCTTTTCCCGTTACCTTTGACGAAAATAAAAATTTGGAGACACTACTGTTTTAAACTTTACTGGGGTTACGGGGCCCCAGGGGGAAAAGGGGGGGGCCTGAAGCACTGCATTTTCCTGTCGGGAAGGGAACAAATCAAAGTGGGAAAAGGTAATTTTGGGTCCCTTATGGGTTTTAACGGAACCACAAGGGAACACCTACATAATGTAAAGAGAGTAATTATTAAAAAGTTGTCTCATTTGTAATTTGGATACGTCATTATAAGTACACATGTTAACTGTTTATATGTTTATTTCTGGTAAACTTTGAGTGTTATGTATTTATGTGCTGATTTAGAAATTCAAAAGATTGTTTTGTTGTACTAAGGGATAATGAAAATTTAAACCTAACAACGTCGATATTAAAGTTTAAAAGGATTATCGGTACGATGTTTAGTTAGAATAAAATTGAATTAATGACTACCGAATAACAGGAAAGGTACCTCTCAGTATATTTTATGATAAATATTTTAAATCGTTGAAGTTCTGACTTCTAGGTTTATAAAATCACCTTGATGTTCCCCTAGACAACGGATTTTACAAATATTCTGAAGGGCACAGAATACGTTACCTATAATACAGAGTAGTTGTGGCCTTTCTGCTTAATATTGTGCCATAGGAGTGGTGGTGTCTTCTACAGTTTATCGTGAAAACGCTTAAAAACCACAACTCTTCGCTGTAGCAAAGAAGAAAACTTAAAGATTCTACGGGTAACGAATATCAATGTTATAGGGGAGTATCCACGTTTGGCGCGTCATGAATCCGTAATTAGTTTCTATTTTCATCGAATATATAAATTAAATCATTCGTGAAATATATCCCGGACGAAAATAAAAATAAACAATACACCTAAAGGTTTTTGTAGAAATATTTTGAAATTATTTTCAAACTGGACGTCTGCGGTATTTCCGAACCAATACGACCTTCAAGGAGGAGAGACCGATACTCCTGAGTTGCAGGCGTTCATGGGCGGGGGAACATCAGGTGACCGTCTCCTCATTTCCCCCCCTTCGTTATGCCATAAAAAAACGAAAAAATACTGATTCGTTATTGACTTTCGGTCGAATTCGTCTGTCGGTAACTATTTGATCATTTTTCATGTAGTGTATGGAAATGTAGTACCTACTTGTACATCAGCTTAGTTCCATCCACTGCTGTCTGGTCCACTGGTCTTGGGCAGACCGCATCCATCCGCTGCCAGGCATTTTCCTCAAATGAAATGTTAAATTACCGTTACGGCAAGAAATACAAAAATTACTATACATTTAAGAAGAATATATGGATTTTATAAAAAAAAATCTATTTAATTAAACGTATCGCGCCGAAAGTCATCCATATCACCTTTACCTCTTTTAAGAGCGAACCTAAAAGAGCGAGACGAACATAACAAGTAAACAGATGACGACATACAGTACTTACTAATTCTCACCGCAATACTTTAAAAAAGTAGGCATGCAGTGGATGGATTATAGTAGCAGTTGTCAGCTAGTAGGCTATACACGTCTCAGTCTAGGTACTGTTACTGTATTTGAAGCAAAAGTGCTTTTGGCCCTTATAATTGTAAGACTTATTCACCCAGACTATCAGAATAACATAACAGAATATCTTGCGTGAGAAATAAAGTTTTTTCCTAAAAT